AGGTAGATGTGTTCAAGTGTGTATTGCTTCAGGATAGACAAATGGAAACATGATTAAAGTAAATTATTAGTACTCCTGAAAAGTTATCGAAGAGGGAAGTAAAGCTCTCCGAGCTTGACATCACATTTTTTAACTGACCTCCGCCCACTTCAAACCTGTCAGAAGAGCAATGACAAATCAGCACAGATATTGCTCGACTAAAAGATATAAAACTATTCTAACTTTGGCAGAACATTTAGTGATTGTGTAGGACCCTATCACTTATAATAAGAAGCGGATTGAGAAAATAGGTTTTCAGTGCTTCTTAAGATTTGATCCAGAGGGAATATTGTACTGCAATATATTCAGAACGTTTCCAAGTTGGTCAATGTGCGGCAGCCAGAGTTTTCACTAATAAACTTCACCACAGTATTCTCAGTCCATTGGCCGCCTATTTCAGGGAGTAGCAGACAGTAAAGTCTTTCTGTTTTTATTCATTTGATGCAGCTAATTTAAATATTCAAAGAATAAACAGGAAATCAGTCGGAAGTAGAGTTCTCATAGCGGGCTCCTTATCTTTGGAGTGCTCTTTTTCTATTCATCATGACAGCTAACTCATTCACATTTTTAAATTAGGATTAAGGACCCACCTATTCTCCCTGGCAGGACCAACAAACACACTATTAATCACATCATGGAGACAGTCCCTTTTGTATCACTGCTGTCATGTGTTTGTATACATGTGTACAGTATGTGTTTGTGCTTGTGTGTATTTGTTCATGTGGATCTCTATATGTTTGAATGACTTATGGGTTCTCTATTATATCTATTTATACTCTACATACTGTGCATTTGAATATATATTTAGGACATCTGATAAACAGTTCCAATAAATGTTTTGATGAATTGATTGTTAGGTTATTCTTATGTTTCTTGTTTTCTTTACTTCTTTTAGAAGAAGACTGACTTGGCCTAGCACTCTTACAACTTTCCATTCAACTTGAAGCTGGAGCCAGCAGCAGGTTAGCTTAACTTAGCATAAAGGCTGAAAAGGGAAATGCTACTTGACCGGCTCTGTCTGAAAGTAACAAAATCCTTCTTTAAAACTCACTAATTAACATGCTAAATCTCGTTTGCTTAATCCGTACAAAATCGAATATGTAAAAATTACAATTTGTTGTTTATTTGACAGACTATTTTTTGCAAAGCGTGAATGTCTGTACAAAACTGAACGGCATTCAATGAAAGCCTCTAGCATGGCTCAACATAATAATTACATTTCCAGTGATTTCAGTTATGTAAACATACGTGGAACTATTAGTGTAGCTCTATTCCCCAGGGTTGGAATAGTAGCTGTAAGCCATGTCCACGTTATTTGGAAACCCATCAGTTTTTTGTGCGTGCTTGTACCCTGCATTCATCAGGGCAAAACGGTTATCACCTGCTGCGCCAATCAAACTATACACAAGACCCTGAAACACACAAGAGTCAATATTATCAGTCATTGTTACACAAGTGGCATTACGTGTGATAATGTAGCAATTAAGGAAGGCATTGACTCTACTGTTGTTGACTGACTGAGTGTTCCAGGCCGGAGATGTGGATAGTGGCCAATAAGAAAGACGCTTTGTGAATGAGGATACTTGCAGTAGAGTCATTGATTTGGATGTGGTTTTATTTTGTGCCTGATCCACGGTGAACATTGCACCAACTGCCGACTCAAACAAAGTACACCTTACGTCCTTGATGCCAATAGATCCTACAGAAAATGATACAGAAACATCAAAAACTGTGAATAATGATGTGAGTTATCCACGACTTGTAGTCAAACAGTGAAGCATTCTAAGACACCTATTCTGATTTCCTCCTCTTTTGTTTGCTTTTCCCTCTTCAACCTGACCCCACAATCTTATGAAGTGAGGGGTACAGACACCTGGAATAAAACATAAATGACAACAGGAATCTTCCAATATTTAATAGGTGTGCAGATTTGATACCCTGTATATGACATCTATATAAGGTAAATCCCTGTAGAATGGTAGCAACACTGCTTTAATGGACTTAATATGAGTTGTTTGGGGGTAATTGGGGTAAAGACTTTTTTTTTACCTGTGACATGGATGACATCATATTTCAACACAAAAAAATTTACCTGTACAATTCCAAAACAATTGTATTTGATAGGCACAAAACACCCATGGATGCCTGCCATGTACTTGCCTCCTCCAATCAGCAAGTATCCATCAGTGTCATTATAAAGGATACTGTCCTGAAATGTACAAGGTATTCAATAACAGTCACACTCTCATGATCATTGTGCATGTATCAGTCATCCCTGCTGTATTGCAGCAACTGGACTTGGTGATTTGTAAGAGCAACAGTTGTATTTAGTCTATTTCCCATTATTTAAATTAGAACTGGCATAAAGAATGTTTTTAACAACACTTGCTCATATACATGTCTTTGGGTTACATCATCCCATGTTGCATCCAGCTGCACCTGAAAGTCAGACATGATAATGCTCACGACACACACAAAAAAACAACTCAGCTGTGAACGACTCCATATTGTACAAGTACACACTGCAATCGCCTGGAGTTTCCCATCTGGAAAGGAACCATCTTTCAAGATCTTACAGCTGTTCCAAAAAGAAATCAAACTGCAAAGCAAGGGCACCATACAAATGTCAGAAGAGAAAGGATGACTAGAGGATGTTGCCCCAAGCTGCATTTCTATTCCTTGGTGTGTAGAAACACAAGGTTCACTACCATTGAGTCCTGTATGTAACAGTCCATTCCAACCCATTTCCACAGGGGCAACACTACACTGGCTTGGGAAGCTTCATCTTCTCCAGTTGTCACACGTGCCTGAATTATGACGTCCCCTACACAGCAGATATGACAGTCATATATTTCAACACATAAGAGCCAAAGCTCTTTATTAATACATAACACAGTCTGTTCCACAGTCTCACAAAACACACATCATCACTCACAATCATCTCATGATACCTCAGTCTAATCCCCTAAACTGGTATCGGGTGTCCCACAGGCTGCTGTGACCCACCTTCGTCTGTAAGCTGCATCAGAACGGAGTCATATAAATTGTTCCTATTGACAAGATGGATGATCCCACAGAGCTTCTTGTGACACAATTTCAGTAGGTAGATCCCCACAGAAAAGGGGACGCTGGAAGCCAAGCACAGAAACATGATATGACAAATAATTTCTTCAGCCACCGAAGCGTGAGGTTGACTTTAAAATGCAGTGCTATCCGCTAAAAATGACTGACCTCGCTGTCTGTCGCTGACCGTAAATAAGAAGCTTATATGCTCTGGTGAAGAGGCTCCGTGGAGCTTGTAAAGTCATTTGTAATGACAGTGAAGTAAAACTAAAAGTGGAGTGTGTTATAACAGCTGCCAGCACTGAAAGGGAAACAGTCACTGACCTGTGGCCCATCAATCTGCTGATATCAACACAAACCAAAGGCATTATATGCTGTACATATGAGGCAGTGCGCAGTGGTTTGTCAAGATTATTTGGCTTTATTGTACACCTGCTATTCTTAAGGGTTTGATACAATATTTGGAGACCCTGCTGGAGATTTATTTTCATGTTGTGTAGTTAAACTTCATTCAGAATAAGTTCAAGCTAAAATGAACTAAATGAGAAGTCAGTGTGTGAAGTTTAAGTCTAACCTGGGCTGCAACACAACATGAAGACAGTCTCTCTTCAGGGCTCTGTTGATAAAAGGCTGGAACCAGCAGACCAGTCCATAGCGCTCACCAGTACTTATGCATTTGCGAACAGCATGTGATTGCATACATAAACAACATTAAAAGTTTAGGTAATAAAGATGGGAGGTGAACAATATAAAAAACTGTGATTAAGGTTCTGGCCTGAATTGTGTGGGCAATGATAAATTCTGTTTCTCATCTTCTGACACATCAACCGAGCTGACCATGAAGGACACTCAGTGGGAGGTTGACCTGGACGCTCAGAGAGTGGCTTTATCTGCAGCACTTTATAAACCCTCAATGCGGAGCCATGGTATGTCCCTGGCTCACTGCCATCATTAATACAAACAGCACAAACTGTCACATTATGGACGTCCAATAAGTGCCTGTTGAAAAAGTCCTGTTGATGTAAAATGGATGGAGGCAATCTGAGCAGCACCTGCCGGATAGACTCGGGCTGTGCTGCTGAGCCATTTCCTCCTGAAAAACGCTTAATCTGTCTTCCTTAATGTGGACACCACCACCTCCACTGCAAGCTGACATGGCCTGGAGCGTTGATACTGCCCATGGACTGAGACATCTAGCACTTTGTCAGGGGCTGAGTCAAACCTTATGAAATTGTCACGCAGGCTCTCACCAGTCCAGGATGAGGCGGTTGAAATGGCTTGTAACACACAGTGTCCCTGGGTGAAGTGAAAGATATGTAAATAATATCCAATGTGAAAAACAGGTTAGCATGCAGTTTTTTACACTCAAACAAAATAGGCAGTATCTCAAATTCTGAGGGTTCGGTATGCTAAATGCTCCACTATGTTGAGCAACTGGTCTCGAACTGTATCTATCTGGTGTTTAGTGCTGATAACATAGTGAACAATGGGTTTTTAGAGCTTTGTCTGAACAATGAGCTGAAACTCTCTATGAAGCTTTGTAAAGCCAAGGGGAGCTGCGGATACAGGTGATGATTCTCTGTCTTTTAATAGACTGTTATTATAAAAATATCAATTACAGCCACTTTAAACATTCAACAATTAGCGTTATAATAGGAGCAATGAAGACATATCCAAAAATAGTTTAAGACATTCATTATGAGTTTTTTTAAGCTCAAAATGAATTAAACATAAAGACGTGTAAAATAATGTTGACAACTAGCAGCAAACTTTCCAAACAGGCAGTTGTGTGAGCATACACCCTGTGTGATACAGGATTGCTTGATATTCTGGTGTTGCAAGTTGAGAAATTTGCATTAGCTTCAGTTAGGGCTTGGCTACATTGTGACATTGTGGCTACAAAATTATGTTTGAATCATTTTATTCCTGCTTATATTAGAGAACTTTCCATGAGAGGGATTCATCAAAGCTCAGAGTCTAACTTAATTTGATGTGCTCCAGCCAAGGCCTTGCCATCACCCTGAGCTCTCTTTGGCCTACGCCCACACAAGACTTTGAAGAAATCTGATCTGAAAAACAACCTGATATCGCAGCCAAAACTAATTACCCATGGGCTACTGACTGTTGATGCTTCAAAGTCAAGGGAATGAGGCACTGGAAAATGTTGCTGATGGGTTGTTTTAGATGACCATGCGTAGAGAAACGCGGTCTTGTTGTCCTTATAAAGCGTGACTGCTGCTAAAATAGACCATCTACAACTCTAGATGGCATACACACTTTTGTCAGACAACTAATATTTTTCACTGGATTTGATTAGAGACGGGGGAAAAGGTCATCATCTTCAATGGCTTTACAGGATCTGTGCAATTTCCAGGACATATTTCTGGAAAGTATAACCACTGAATGTTCTTCAGTGCCTATTGGAAAGAAGACTGGCTGTAACTATGTGAGTGGTTTGTCCTTTAGCAATAGCACAAGTCTGTTAAATTTTTATGTTCCAGTAGCGGAATACCTGGGTGAAAGTCCAATACAGTTTGGGCAAATCAACACCATCCAGAGCTCCAGCACCGTCTCATCTCAGGACTCCATCTTACCGTCCCTATCCATGCCCACAAGCTTTCCTCTGGCCTCCTCTCAGTCTGTCCCTCTGCCTTTTCCCATGTCTCATGGCACCACCACCCTGGCTTTCATGTTTCAGGGCGGCGTGCTGGCTGCAGCAGACACTCGTTCCAGTTGCTCTGGGCTGGTGGCGTGCCCTGCCTCCCAGAAGATCTTGCCCATTCACAGTCACTTGGTGGGTACTACTTCAGGTACTTCCGCTGACTGTGCTCTTTGGAAACGGATTCTGGCTCGTGAACTGCGGCTCTACCAACTCCGCCACGGCCGACGGTTGTCGACAAGCGGAGCTGCCAAATTGCTTTCCCATATGCTTCACCCGTTTAAGGGAACTGAGCTGTGTGTGGCAGCCACATTGTGTGGGTGGGATGGAGGAGAGGTAGATGAATGCCATGACCACGGAGGCGATAAGTTTGATCTAAGTGGACGACGAGAAACAACAAAGAGTCAAATAACTGATCTTGGAAAGTCTGTAGAGTCCTCTCTAGCCAAGAGTCAGAATTCTTCTTCAACAATTGGTGCTACACAGCAGTGCTTTGCCAGAAAGAAAGGGAGTTTCTCTGGACCCAGTCTGTACTATGTGTGCAGTGATGGTACTCGCCTGCAGGGAACGCTCTTTTCCGTGGGCTCGGGATCCCCTTACGCCTACTCAATTTTGGACCAAGGGGTTCAGTGGGGACTGACAGTGGACGAGGCAACATCAATAGCCAGAGAGGCTGTATACAGAGCCACACACAGGGATGCATACTCAGGAAACTGTGTAGACGTCTATCACATCTCCTCAAAAGGATGGACTCGGAGGAGCAGAGAGGATTTGAAAGAGGAATATTACAGAGAAAAGGAAAGACAAGAGAGAAGAGAAAGACAGGACGTGGCTCTGTCTGAGTAAAGACATGAAACAAACAAAAATGGCATGAGAAAAGAAAGGCAAACATCGGGGAGTATTTTGGAGAGACGCGATGGCATCTTTGCAGCAGATACTAAATTAATGAATAGAACAGTTACTTGCATCCTCCAGGCTATTTCTCAAGTGATTTTGGCATGCATATAGTTCTCTCTAATAAACAGCTGATGTTTTATTTGTGCTGATGATAAAATGTATGTAGTATGTAGTAACTGCAGGCTGGCGATAAAATGTTTGTTTCAAGTATGTGAGATAATTACAGCATACTCCTGCATGTGTTTGGATCACATTAACACAGAGAAGCAGAAAAAGGAAATCTAAATGTCTGGAGTCTAAAGGTCATAATATATTGCCATGTATAAGGGAACTAATGTAGCTGTAGTAATAAACAGTAAGGAGTTGAAAACTGATTTGTGCATGCTGTCAGAATTTGTCTAATATTTTTGACACTTCAATAAATTCATGATTAAACAAAATTTTGCTGAACTTGCCTATTCTGTTTGAGTAGCCTGGTAGTAAATTAAGCATACTAGTAATTATTCAAGTGACAATGGCTGCAAAGGCTATTACGGCAAAAGGCTTTTCACCCACATCCTCACTGCCTTTTCAGACTTCTCTTGTGGAGGCTGCCAAAGTATGGTGGTGAAAGTCTTCATGTGTGAAGCAATTTACCATATGGGAGGGTGCGATACATGAATTTTGCTAACAGATATCAAAATGTTGAAGCTGTGCTTAATGTTGTGGCTCTGCATGCTGATACTACGAGCTTATCTTTACAAAGTGCCATATATGGTTTTAAAGGTAAATGTATGCAAATGTATATGTATGTATATGTGTAATCCACAATAGGAAATAAACTACAGGCAGGGTTGTGCAATGATGCTCAGCACATCTCCAGTGCAACATTACAGAGTTGAGTATCTAACCCACACGAGTACCACTGTATGACTGACTGCAGCAGTGAGAGGGAGCAGAAAGAGGGGGAAGCCTCCCTTCCTCCCCTAACTCATCCATAATTCTCATCTTCGGATGTTCATTAATGACTGATGGATGATTATTGAGCGAGTGAAAAACAAAAAACATGTGGAAACCAATTTGGTGGTTCAGATTTGAAAGCTTGCAGACTTGTGAGTACAGAACAAGTTATGAAAGCAGGCAAGGACAGAATCGGGATTGTAATCAAAGTCATTGAGCAATAGGGCTTCCTTTGCTTGCCTTCTTCAATGTTTTATGTTCATTTTGTTCGGCAGCTTCTACTCCTCACATGCAAACTCCGGCTGAGAGCGGAGCGAAATTTGATTGATTTGACCAAGAAGTGAAATGTCACAGACAAGTTACAACACTACATCTTTGTTTTACTTGTCTGACAGAACTTTAAAAACATACAACCCAAACAGCCAGAAATTTGCCAAAATTAGTATGACTGCCCCCGCTCACAGTCAGAAATCAGAACATGTTTTGCACTTAAAGTAAATGTGTCCCTGTGGGCTCTCACATCCTGACTAGCAGATTGATTGCGGCTTGGCTTTGTTTTGTGCTTGCGCAGTAGTTTTGGCATTAATAAACCTCCGTACCCAGCTGGGTAGAAGGGATCTGAGGAGTGACCTTAGGGTTACTGCTTTCTATTCATATCAGTGAACACTTGTCTCACCACCACTTGTTTAAAGGCTCTCTTGTTTCTTAGTCAGAAGACAGAAATCAAGAATGATCAAGACACATCGATGTGCAAAGCAATTCTGCACTCTGTAGATGAATGATCACTTTATACAGTATTGAGATGCTCAAAGCATGTGATTCTGCCGCTGTGCTGAAAGTACAGTTTTCATCAAAAGATCAGATTCTGTTTTGTTTGTTTGTTTTTTTCAAGTTAAAATATCCAAAACATTTGGGGGACAAACAAACATATTGTATTCCAGGAGGTACAGGATAAAATATGTCACAATGTAAAAATATCACAATACCTAATCTTTTACCCAGATTTCCAAATAGATAAATTGGTCTTAACATTTAGATCTTTCGCACCCAAAGGACTTTATAAATATAGACAAAACACATGATGCACAATCCATTTAGCTCAGTGGAGAAAAAATCCTATCAAAGTAGGAAGAGGGGAGGGGTGACTCCAGTCATACATTGTAGATATGTGTTTAGCAAGTGGGTGAACACTAATGGTGGTGAAATTTAATCTGTTCATGCATCCTTGAATAGCAATTTTATGGTCCAGCTTCTTTGTGGAACAACTGGGAAAATGCTAACTTATTGAAGATGATTATGCAGACAGGCCATAAAATGTTACAGGGCTTTCAACATAAATGTGGTTGAGAAAATGATGATAATAAAGGTGATAATTAGAAACCAAAGCAATGTTTTTTGGTTTAAGCAGAACAAACTGAGACAACCTAAAATAGCAATTTGTCAGTATGGGTACACACTGTGTCTGTGTGACAACGTAGTGGTGGTCACTATATGTATCCTCAAAAATAGCAGGCTTTTAGGGAGACCACCGTCTTTCTGAGATAGTTCAAACTAATGGAGAGGGAGAGAGACACCAAGGAAGGGAGGGAGGGATAGGCAGAGAAAGAGAGAGAGAGGGAGAAGTGGACAGACCTCACGGTGAGCTCAGATGAACCTCGGCATCCTTTCCCACGTTGGATCATTTCAGCTCCGTTAAGGCAGAGAACCAGCAGAGCAGAGCTGCAAACACACGGTAAGCTCTATTCTTCTCCACTAAAGGACTTTCTTTATCTTCACGATTCACTAGTTTATTTAAGTGACGCCTCGTAGCCTACTCCTACACAGACGTGACAAGTTTCCTCTCCACGGCTCTCCACTTTATCGTTCAGTTTTTCTATTTTGGGGGCTTAGCCTCGGTGCTGGCGCGGCTTCCAACTGTTTCACTGTCAGTTTGGAGCTGTTCGCGTATCAAGCAGGAGCAAACCTTTCGCCTTCTCCTGCCACGAGCAGATGTTACCACGAGCGGGCTGTTTAGGTGAAATAATACTCGGCTGGGAGAAGGACTGGGAAAAGCAACCCATGTTTTGAGTAACTGAACTGAGCGCCAAACATTGACAGATGGTACGGATAATGCTGTGCTTCCCTTCTAATTTTCTGGCGAGGTACCGTTTGTGTATGTGAGCGCGCGCTCGGTTGGTGCGCGCCGTACTCACCTGCCGCGTGCACTCACACGCGAGTACGCCGATTTGGGGGTCGCTGGACCGTGGTTAGTAGCCGACAGCCATATTTTGGGACGCTGCATTCATTATAATAGTTAGCCCAAGTGTGTAAATCACATTAACATGCATCAAGTAGGTCATTTTTCTGGCCTCCTCTAACAAGACAAGGTCACGCTCCGGGCTGTTTAGGGTATCTCTGCTAGATATGCTAATAAGCAGTCCAGATGTGTGTGTGTGCGTGTGTGTGTGTGTGTGTGTGTGTGCGTGCGTGCGTGCGTGCGTGCACGCTGGTTTGTGTGTGACAGAGACAAAAAAGGAGCTGCAAAGAGGCATCATGTGCTTTGAGAAATATAACGTCCGTCTGTCTGTTTACAACGCGATGTAATGTCAAAGAAGACATTATTATCTCTCACACAGATACACACACAGATACAGACAGAGCACATTGTAACCACACGCATTTTAAAATGACAAATAAGTACATGACTGAACACTTGCACAGTTGTTATGCTGTGGTATCAGTTAAGGTTGAGATGTGTCAAGCCTTGAATATAATGAGGTGACAGATGTGCTGAGTACAGTGGGCCTCTCCACAACAGCCTGATTTGGATAGACTTAAGAGATTTCCATTTGTGCAAGGAGCAGGAGAGAGGCGGTGAGAATGGATGAGAGCTCTGAAAGCATTAAGACGAATGGCAGAAGAGAAGAGAAAGCCAGAGATGCTCAAATGGAACAGAATCTGTCCACGTCTCAGTCGTTTAAGCCAGCCAGGCTGCCCCCCTCAATGTGCTTCTACCACCATCACCCCCACCCCCCTCACCCATTCCCTCTCTGCCTCCATCTCCCATTTTTCCCTATGTAAAAGGTCTGCCATGCACAGGCTATTTTTAATAAAAATGAAGTAGCCCTGTTGCAGTGAAGCGACTCTTAGCAGAGTGAAGTGAGACTGAAACAGCGATTTGCAATTTAGAGCTATGTCACCACTCATCATTCCATTCTGAGCCGGCAACAGCAAATCGTCCTCACGCTTTCATCCTCTATCCCTGCCTTACGTTTCACACATATCTCATGCACACTCATACTGTAAAGACTTCAAACAACAGTGAGTGACATGTACTGCTGGCAATGTGGTTCTGGAGAAAATCTAGCAGAGAGAAATGTAAGCCGTGAGCCCAGTCTATGCTAATACACAATGGCTGAGGGAGACAAAAGTGTTTTGGAAGAACCTCTTCTTGTATTTTGCTTGATTTAAGATGATGGTAAGCAGATGCAGATGGTGAACATGAGGCATTACAAACAGTATGGAAGACTTGGTATAATTGGTGTGCAAATACAAAAAAAAAATCAAGGATGAATTTCCTTTTAAGAAGAAATGAATAGAAGAAAGTAGTAATTACTATTATACTATATGATCAAATGCTCAAATTAAAAAGCCTACTTTTTAGAAAGTAGGTCAGTATCTGGAGTGAAAAAGAACATTGGTTTCATTTCAATGTGTACTTCCTTCCACGTGAAGCATATCAGTTTGGATATATCCGAAAATGTTATGGTTCATACTATATAGTGCCATCAAATGCGTGTGCCATACAGTAGGCCCACTCTGTGCTTATTTGCATCTAAATGTAATCAAAGCACATGTTTCACTGCACGTTCATTTAGTCAGAACACAGATGAGGCCAGAGAATATATCAGTTTGCACTGAGTCATTTATGTTCTTTTCTTTTATGGAGATTTCTTTCGCTTTTTTTTTAATCAAAACAGATTCATACAAACTTTATTTAAAATAGTTTGAAGACAGCATCCCTGCGTACCAATGACTCATTCACTATGTGTGTTGTGTTTGTGTGTGTGTGTGTTATAATTCTTGCCTCCATGCGTGCATAAAGGTGAAAAACAGATGTCATAAAATTTACATTCATTGCAGGAAATAGTGAGGCAGAGTGATGGATGCAGGTGGAACGGGGATGGAATAACTGCGATTACACAGTTCCACTCTTGTTAAGCTGCTGACACTTCTCAGTACATCAAATTTCAAAGATCAATGGCCGGGATCTGACTCAAATACTAACGAAACTCAGATCATTAAACTTTTGGGAAATGAGGACAAGTCATTGATTAAATTATTTATGAGTCTTAATTAATCTCTTAAGGGGAACTTCTTCCACTACTGGGCATTGAGGCATGGGGAGACCATCTTTAGGGATGACATCAATCACCTGATGTCCAGGCAATTGTGTGTGACAAGGAATAGTAAAGTACTTGAGCTCCACCTCGTCGCCAGGCCCTCAAGCTCCAAAATAATTGAACATTTTTAAGACCACACTTGATTCTCTTAAAATGCATGAGTGATCAATAACAGGATTCACAAACAACAGCAATGACAGCAGCAATGAGAATAACTTGAATAACAGCATCTGGTATGAGGGGGATTCTCCTTTTTAGGTAATTTCTTATCAGACCGTAATGTGCATAGTTTCTGTGCTAAACTCACAGCTATTTTTACAGCAGCTGGCAGAGAGCTCAGATTAGCAAACAGAGCTGTTCAACAAACAGTCGGATAAAAATGTATCCACACATTTGTCTCAAAATATCAAACTTCCTCCAAAGACAATGAGTAAGATGCCAACTCTTTTCCCCTCTGTATTTTCAAGCACTTTTCCCATTTTGAATACAGTCAAGATCACACTAATTGTGTCTTCTCTCCTGCATCCTGTACAGCATGTGTACTGAATGGGGAAAATGTGAGAAAAGAAGGCAAAATGAAGACTCGCTCTGGGGAGAAGGAACCTGAAACAGGAGGAGATGAACACAAGGTGGACCATCATGAAAACCTGCATCTGATCAGCCATTCAACAGTAATTCTTTGAAACAATCTGATCAGTTCATCGTAGCTATGGCAGCACATATTGTGCTTCTTCTTCTTTTATTCTGTAAAGGTGAAAGAAGTGGCATTTCAGTGGCTGCATCAGAGGAAGAGCCGGATTTGCAAGAACTATCAAGCAAAAGTCAACAAGTTTTACCTCATCCAGAGTCGATGGAAAACTTTTTTGGCAGTTTCAAAGAATTGGAAAGCCCGCTTCAGAATGCAACGGATGATGTAAGAACCCTGCCAAATGCGGATTTTAGACTAAATGACAGAAAACCTAATGATTTTGACTTTAAGGGCAACATAGCAGGGCAAACAGTCAAACTTAAACATCCAGAATCTGCGGCCAAGTCCCTAAAAACTAAACATAGCCCTGAACTCATTCTGAACCCAGAGAAAAGAAGCAATTTGTCTAATGGAGAGGTTGAAGGTGTAATTAATGCTCACAGTCTAGTGCCGAGTTCAGAGAAGGAGTACGCTCTCCAGCCTGAGCTCCATTTGGAGACAGGTGTCGGTGACTTTCTGCGTGAGAGGACACGGGGCCGCTCTAAATGGGTCATGGAATCTGAAGACAGTCGGTCAGGGCTGTACCTGCCACGTGTGGAGCCTCGCTCTCGCCGCCGGAGGAGCTGGCTCTGGAACCAGTTCTTTGTGATCGAGGAGTACAGAGGGCCTGAGCCTGTGCTCATTGGACGGGTAAGCTGTTGTCACAACCACTCAGCATGTGAATCACCTGTTTCTAGTGGTATGGAGTTATATTTGTGCATCATTCATTAGAACGCCGTGGGACATTTTGAGCACAGAAAAATATATTATTTATCTATTTTGTAGAGAGAGAATAATATAATATGTGCCAACAAAATTCAGTCCTCAATAAATATGTGTTTGTGTGCCATAGCCCACATAAGTTCATAATGATAGCCTTTTTTCACTCAGTTTGAGTAATTTTGCCTTTCATTTACTCTGCTCTGTGTGTTCAAGCTCACGGCGTCTCTGCTCTGTGCGCAGCATCAGGTTTGCCTGCACACTCCATGGATGGATTATTAGAACTGGATACAGGACTCAAAGATGATACCCACTCACTTAAAGGTTCAGTGTGTAATATTTCTGAGGATCTATTGACAGAAATGCAATATAAGATACATAGCTATGTGTTCAGTGGTGTACAAAGATGTACAAAGCTGTATTGAAAAGTGCTATACAAATAAAGCTATTATTATTTTTATTAATTACTATTAACCACCTTTTAGCATGTCTATTAAATGAGATGTAGCACACCATGTCCAACAAAAGCATATCTTAAATTTAGATTTATTTAAATTTACAGGCACTGTTAAAGCAAACCATTGTTTATCTGGTAGTTAGCTACCTATCAAGATAGCTTTGGGTTAGGTTTCAAGCTAATCTAGCACTGATGGAAATTACTAAAACTATGAACTAATTATGTGTGCCTGTTGTGTGCCTGCTTGCCATTCTTCCAGTTCTTTCCTACTCCCCAGTAATCAATAATAGTACAAACAATCAGAAGCAGGACAAAACAGCCATTTAGTAAATAGCTGCTCTTCATTTTCTGATTAGCTGGTGCCCACTGTAACGGTGCATTTAGAAAGAAAGCGTTTATTTTCGCTGCCTCTAAAATCCCTTTGCGTTCTGGTCAGGTCTAGCTGAGTGAGTGTGCAGGCGACCTGAGCGCACAGAGCAGAGACATTAAGAGCAAGACAGACACTGAATGAGTGTCAGAGACACTGACAGATGGCAAATGAGCTAATTGTGCACTGTGGATATTGTGGATATTAGCAAAATACATATATTAAGGAACAAATAGTTTTATTTTCTTTGCGTGATAATAGTTTCCCTACAATAATTATATGAACTTATGAGCCAGAATGCCCCATCACTCGCCCAGGAACGAGGCACAAATATAACTCCATGTAATAGCCGTGCTTGTGCAGCTGTTCACGTGTCATGTCACATACTGGAGTTTTTATAGTCGCCACACCAGCAACCTTCAATTGCTGTCGGTGTCGCAACACGAAAAGGTCTGAGATGATTTAATCCACTGCACACCTGAACCATTCAGATCCCAGGGGTTTACTTGTAGCATTACACAGCCAGGCGCTCCGCACTAATGCAGCTGCTGGCAGCTACAGTATACTCAGAGTAGGATTATATCAACTGTAACGCTAACAGGGAATGCTGCCAGCCACTTTGTAGCTAGCTGTATACTTTATAGTGACAGTCTAGATTGGATTCTTACCAGTGCAGTATACACCTCATAAATGTTTAATCTTCCTCTCTGGTTGTTATTGATACAGTCAAGGAGGGGTGTTAAAGCAATCAGGAGACACACAAGACTGCTCATTCTTCTGCAAGCGTAGTTTTGATGTTGATATTCATGTGATAAAGCATCCCTGCATTGGAAGGGGGTTGGAAGCACAGTTTTCTCTCAGAGGCAGCTCAGTTTGTTTGCTGAAAATAGAGAGATGATCTCTTAAAACCCACCGCTAGTGCAAGGTTTGAGGTGAGTTATTAACCGTTCAAATCACAGGTGCCTCAACCCGTGTGAAAAAAGGAAGAATTTGGCGGGTGAAGATTGCAGTGTGATGCAGATGTAAACCAAGAGGTGGATGTACTGAATGAGCGAGAGGAGGGGGAAAATCAGATTAAAAAGTAGGAGAGAAAGTGACAAAGGAATTGGAGGAGACAATTTCCTCTTTTTCAAGCTTTGTTTGTACAGGGCGGATAAATTTCTTCCCCACCGTGAGAGTGTTTTTCCATGCTGACAGAAGCACAGCAGGACTGAGCCAGCAATTAGACAGTGAGGAGAGGAGGGCTGGAGAGAAAGAGAGAGGATGGAGTGGGGGGGCGGTGGCAAAGAGCAGGGGAGCGAGATAGGCACAGACTCCGACAAAGATGTCTCTCGTGGTGAAGTGTGGGATCAAAATCGAAGCTTGCTTTAAGGAAGAAAGGAGGGAGAGGGATGTGGGTGTAGGGATGAATAAAAAACCCTGAGTCCCTTATCTAGCAATTTGTATGGTATGCTATCACGAGTTTCTATAATCCTCAACTTTATCCTTCAAGACATACACACCACACACACACACACACACACAGACATAACTATTCACTAATCTTATATTTTCCCCTGGTCTCTGCCTGCATGCCATGCAATGTGTGTGTGTGTGTGTGTGTGTGTGGGTGGGTGGGTGAACATATGTTTTTAACATGCATTATGTTAGATACTTTCAAGTGGGCATCTGTCTTAAGCACACGAATGGTTTGACTAATTCTACACTTATCGTTATACAGGCAATACATATCTGTATTTCTCTGTTACCCAAACAAATTCCATTTAACACAGTGAATATGCCTTGCAAAATAATTCATCAGAAATTGCTTTGTTAATGTGTAAACAGTCATTGTTGCAGCTGAATTCAAATTGAGGCTTTAGTTAGTGAGTATCTAAGGTCCACAACAGAGGTTGTGAGTAAGCCTTGTGGATTATGAACATGTGCAGATGTGCCTTAAGGGTAGAGAGATGTGAAGGTTCCTGGTCAGAAAGCTTAGTGTGATGAAGGCTGAGTAATCTCTTTAGTTTTCTATTTCTGTGTGTTTGGCCTTTTACCTATTAAATACCAAAGGAGTACTTTGCACTTGGGAGCAAAACAGATAGTCAGAGGGAGAGAGAGGGGAATGAGAAATTGCAAGCAGATGGGCATTCTGTGTAACTGAGGTAACTTAATGAAAAGAGAGAGATACTAGGACTGGAATCAGAGGTGGTTTTAAAGGTACAGGGAAGTCAGGCAGATGGATTTACAAGAAGGGGAAAGGAAGAAACAGATGGAAGAAGAGACAGAAAGATTTGCAGATGGACACTTAGCCGAATGCATCTGTGAACATACATGTAGGACATTTGCAGGGCCAATGTCCACGTTAATGTGGAATTGCCCTCAACAAATCCCCAATGGCATGGATGGTCCAGTGAGTTAATTAGCTGAATGCATCAGTACTCATCTTGGTCCCATATGTATCTTCCACACCTGGTGCCATTCAATTAAAATTCACTGAGCACTTCCCACCTTAACATAAATCACCCACTTCAAATACAAATAGATGAGCGCTTATTTGCGATACCTGCATCAGCACACTGGGTCTGAAAGTGATGTCGCCTGAAGGGGCCACAGTCATTTACTCTCTGCATGTTTTTATTTTCCAGCTGCACACAGATATGGACAGAGGGGACGGACGCACTAAGTATATGTTGGAGGGAGAGGGAGTGGGCTCTGTGTTTGTCATCGACAGCAACACAGGCAACATACATGTCACCAAGTCTCTAGACCGCGAGGAGAAGGACCAGTACCGTCTCATTGCAACAGCTACAGACCGTCAGACAGGCCGAGCCCTGGAGCCCTCATCTGAGTTCATCATCAGAGTGCAGGACATCAATGACAATCCGCCTGTCTTCCCCAATGAACCCTATGTTGCCATGGTACCAGAGATGGCCAACATAGGTACAGCACTAAAACAACATTAAAGTGATATCTCTTCAAAGGTGGCTGTAAAATTCTAGTAGTGTTGTCCTTCATGGGGTGCAGCCCTTGAGATTTTCGGACATAATTTTGCATCATCACTGACAGGTGTAGTTGCACAACAGTAACTTTCAAAGCACTGCATTCATTGTGGGATTGTTAACAGTAGTATCCATGGATGCTACTTTTTTGTTCCCTTGTGAAATTTATGAGGGTGTCGAAATATGTGTGTGCTAACATTTGCTAATTAGCACCAAACACTTGGTCCTGAATATGAAAATTTAAAAAATGTTGAAATTTTGACCTGATGATGGCACTAGATAAAATGGCCAGGGGATAACCACAGTTGGGTTTTTTGTACCAAATTTCATGGGAATCCATCCAACAGGTGTTGGAATATTTTAGTGTGGACCAAAGTGGGAGACTGACTAACAGACAGACAATGACATCTCAGCCACACAGCTAGCTTGACAAAAATATTTAAACATCTATAGAAGTGATTCTTTTTTTTTTACCAAATAATCTGTGATAGTATCTCTCTTTTTTGTCAGAAAATGTCAGAAAATTGTGAAACATGCCAATCACAACTTTTAGAAGCCCAATGAGATGTATTCAGAAAGTTGTTTTTTTTTATCAGCACTACAAAACATGATAAAGAAAAGCATCACATCAGGAAAAATGACAGAAACAATTAATTATCAAAATAGTTGCGGACTAATCTGTCAATCAGCCTGTTCATGCAGCATAATCAACCTCCCAACTGTGCAAACATATTCTCAGTATCATGCAAATAATCGTAATTTTGCCAAAATGGGGCTAAATAGACTGCGAGAAATTGTTCGACATGAAAATGGTGATGTATGTCATATTTTATCTATGATTTGAAGATACTGCTTGTACAGATGGACAGCAGAGAACTGCCTTATCCTTTTAATCATACTGATGTACTTGATATTCAAAATATGATGATGATGATAATGATGTGGAGTATCACTTTAAGCTTATGGGCCAGTCACCAGCTTTAACTACTATACTTTGAGTACATTTGACTTATCACCTTTGCTGCTTCCTCTCTTTCACAGGCACGTCCATAATCCAAGTCACAGCTAGAGATGCTGATGATCCAACATATGGAAACAGCGCCCGGCTGGTTTATGCCATTACTCAGGGCCAGGACTATTTCTCTGTGGATCCTCAGACAGGTCTGTTCACGGCCTCACTCGTACCACACATCCTCTCTAAGCTGTGCCTCTCCAGCTGATGATCACACTTTATACAGTTAATCCCAGTGGTCAGATTTGAAATCATATGATGTGTCCTTGCTACCATATGTCCAACGTGGAGAAGAACATTTATTTTAACTCACATTTTATATGATTTGTTCAGAAACAGAAGTGGCCTGGAGTCATATGTTTTTCAATGCCCTAATTCTAAAATGTATGCATCTGACTCACTTTGATGGTAATATGAAGAGACCTTGTGTCACTGTGAAATCTGTTGCTGTTGTGATTTTTGCTCCATGTCCCGCTGTCCTCTCTACCAGGCGTCCTGCGGACAGCAGTACCTGACATGGACAGAGAAACTCGGGATGAATATCTGGTCATCCTCCAGGCCAAAGACATGGGAGGGCATCTGGGCGGATTATCAGGGACTACGACCGTCACTGTGAAGCTGAGTGATGTTAACGACAACCCCCCTCACTTTAGAAGGAGTAAGCACCGCTGTTATCACATCACCACTTTACTGTTGGCTGCTTTCGATCTCTGTAGCTGTAGACTGTGTGTGTGTAGGTGTGTGTGTGCATGGGTCTGACTTATGCTTCCTTTGGGGACACATTAGGGCCAGGTTACAGTTAGGGCTAGGCAAGTAGTTGTTAGGGTTAGGGTTGTGGTAAGTCTCCGGGAAATTAATGTAAGTCTATGTGATGTCCCCAAAAGTGACATAACTAAACTTGTGTGTGTGTGTGTGTGTGTGTGTGTGTGTGTGTGTGTGTGTGTGTGTGTGTGTGTGTGTGTGTGTGAGAGTAAGTAAAGATTAAAATGATGAAACATCTTGTAACAGCATTTGTGACAGCAGTCTGATATTTTTTTCCTCCTTTGGGTCCTAGACGTCTTGACAGGTTTAAGATATAAGCTCCAAAGTAGCTAAACAGCTTGTCAGTCCAGCGTTGCTCTTTTATTTTATGCACTCTTCTAATCATTGTTTTTAACATCAGCGGGAATAACATACGCCTTTGTCAAGACGACTGCCATTAACATTCATATAAACGCTCCCGTTTGGTCCCCGAGGTTCAAATGGACTGTGCCTTGACGTAGAAGAGTGAAAGATCATGTCCGCTTTTTCTTATCCAAGCTTTTCCCTGTTCCACGCTATTAATATTTCATCTTAAAGTTCAGTGCTTTCTGCTTCAATAGACAGTAAAATCACTGCAGAATGTGTCTAACACTTTGAGACATACACTGCATTTCTCTATATATTACCTCTCCTCTGTTATTTTCCCCCTCTTCCTTACTTCTTCTTCCTGACAGTCTCTGCTCACTGCCATTCATCTTAATGCTTAAAGCCCCCTTTCTTTGTGCTGATATATTGTGCTGCAATACAGTGCTTTATAGAAGCAATTTAATATTTCCAAATGCCGGCAGTGTCATTTATTTATTGATATTTGACTATATCTTCCTTCCCCGGCCGTCTTACCCTAGGTCATTATTTTCCATTTGACAATAATGCCACAATTTAAGCAAACAGCTCATTTAGTATGCTCTGCGTATGCGACGGGCGTGGTTTTGTTCTTCATAATGTGGAGGATTTGAATGATTAACAATCAGCAAGGTAGCGGTGCTCTGATTAGAATAAAAGCATTTCTCTGAATTTACAGCTTGTTGCTGTGCCGTGTCACAAGCGACATAGAGGTCCTCTTGTGATGGCAAGTAAAGGATATGACCTGCTACAGATCACTGGCTGCCTTTTCATGCTTGCTAAACAGCAAATTCAGCACATCTTAAATTCTCCATTTAATAAAAACAACTCTTGATTCATTAAAACAGAATGGGACAGATTTCAGTTAAATTGAAGCTTTACAGTTCTATCAACTGTATGTGACATTAGTAATGTGATTAATAGAGTTGATACCTTTTTTTGTCTAGAGATAAAAACAAGAAGCTAGGGCTACATCTAACAACAATTGCTTTGTTTATCAACCATTTAGTCTTTAAAAATGCCCGTCATAAATTTCCAGATCCCAAAGTAACAATGGTAGAAAAAGAAACAAAAGTATTCAATGGCTTAATTTATCGAACCAACAGTTCAAAAACTAAAGATATTCCACTTACAATGACATTAAATGGAGCAAAGCAGCTAATCCTCACACTTGAGTAGTTTGAGCTCCAAACGGATGTCTTTAAATGGCTTGTTTTATCTTCAAAACCCACATATATACAGTGTCTAATGATATTTTTTGTCGATTGACTAATAATTTGAGCTCAGAAAAAGTGAAAATGTCTAAAATGTACAGCATTTGGCAGAAATAATGGCTTTAAATGTGGTCACTTCAATTGTTCCTCCTGTCCTTACTGATTTACGTTTATAACAACTGTGCTTTGAAATAAAATTGAGCCAGACACCATCCTTCTGTACTGTGTGTAGTTTATTTTGTCACATGGAGTCTCATCAACATTCAGCGCTCACAACCATTATATTCATTGTTTTTCTCCCTGCAGGTGCGTGGTCATTCTCTGTATCGGAGCTAGCAGCACCAGGTGTGGAGGTGGGCCGTCTAACTGCCACTGATCCGGATCTGGGAGAAAATGCACAGCTGGAGTTCACTATCCTGGACTCTGAGGAGACCGAAATATTCAATATAACCGGAAGAGACCAAGAGGCTGTCATTGTGCTGAACAAGGTGAGTGAGGAGACACAGGGACACACGCAGAGCGTAAAGCAACTTTAGTTCATTAAGAGTTTTCATAATAGCCGAGGATCTGAAGGCACATGTAGGTGGTTGCGCTTAAGTGGTCACATAATTTCAGGAGATTAAATAAACTTGCTTTTCTCTGGTTCTGCAAATTAATTTTATTTGGTCATTTAAACATTTCATTACTCCACTCAGACACATTCTGTTGCTGACAGGTTCAGACTCCCAAGGCTCGATGCGAGCAATTAATGAATAACAATGGACTAATAAGCAGCTGGTGAAAAACTGTAGCTCATTTGAAGTGAGTAGGCCATGTTAAAGGCAGCCAGTGTGAATTTGCCTTTTTACTTTTTAAGGGTTTAACAGCACTGGGCATTCAAAGATAATTATTGCTCAGTGAAATCTTTAATTAAAAGGTTGCGGAGGATGAGGTAAAAAGAGGCTGATGATTAATTACCCAAAAAAGTAAGAAAGGAAACTCCAAAATGGAATATTGTATGTGAGTTATATGGAGAGATAAAAGTATATAAAATGAATAATGAAGTACTCTATGTGGGAAGAAATGTACATATAAATCATGTATGATTATGATGACCTTCACTAAAGCATAGTCCATGGACTGAGGCTGCTTTACACTTCACCCAACAGCTGCTGGATTATGAGACCCGCAGTTCATACACTTTCTCTGTGGAAGTTGCCAATCCTATAGTAGATGCCCGGTACCTAAGGAAAGGTCCCTTTAAGGACCAGGCAACAGTCCGGGTCATGGTCCTTAATGCTGATGAGCCACCGCGATTCTCCCAGGCTCGATACCATCTGGACGTGTCTGAGAACTGCCCCCCTGTCTGCTCTGTTGGCCGGGTCTACGCTGTGGACCCAGACACAGGGCAAAGCACCAATATCAGGTGGTTATTATACTGTCACTCACTCATTTAGCCTCTCGCTTGCTCACTCAGGGCTCTCTTCACGTTCTTTTTTCCTTCCTGTTCTGGCTCGTGCCTGTTTCTGTATCTCAGGTACTCCATCGATCCCCAGTCAGACCCTGAGGCTCTGTTCCGCATCGCCTCTGACACGGGCTTTATCAGCACAGTGATGGAGTTGGACCGTGAGCAGGAGCAGTGGCATAATATCACAGTCATCGCCACACAGAGGGGTATGTCAGCCCCTCTGCCCTCAGGCGCCTTGAGCAGCAGAGCTTACCAGAGTCATATTTCACCAAAAGTGCCACCTGGAGTTGAGAATACAAAGTGAGGAGTAAAAATGATAGACATTCAGTGATAATTTTATCATTAGTGTCAGTTTCCTTTTCTTTCAGACAATCCAAATCTTGTGTCAAGGGTTGTGGTTGCCATAGAGACACTAGACCAGAATGACAATGCACCAGAGTTGGACAGGCAGTATACAACGTCTGTATGCGACTCCAGTGCCCCCGGTCAGGTCCGTTCTTCATTTGTTTTTGCCTGATATTACAGTTAACTTGTATGCAATGTATTCCTGTTTTTATCCACTCTGACTATTTTTTCTTTGTCATTTTTGACTTGATTTCTGTTTTTAAATCAGTCCATGATTAGAAATTTGTATAGCTCATCTCATCTTTGTCTACATTACATTTTGAAATACAGTGCAAACTGTTCAACCGCCTATGAGTCAAAAAGTGGGGGACATAATCATTCCTATACAAATACTATTTCAATAATGTGCTTATAGTAATCAAGTAGTCCGCTTATGTGTTTATTTTGTGTCTTTTCATACATAACAACATATGGAAAAAAAACTCTGCTACCAGTTCAGCATTGATAGCCTAAAGTTTATTTTCAGGCCTGTTAAAAATTTTGAAACGCACTGAAATCACTGCTAAACTGAGGCTTAGGAGCCTATTTACACTACTGACATTACTGTATTTGTTCACAGCACAATATTGTTTTAGGCTATAGCCTAATTATAATTTGAACTTAAGTAAGCTATATTTTATATAAAGTACAGTACTGCATTACTGCATAGTGTTTTACAGATTTTTGCAATGCATTGCAGAATTTTTTATCATTTTTAGCGCTAACCTCAGTGACAAATACATTGTGTTTCCTGTAGGGCTGCACGATTAATTGCATTTGAGATATTATCGCGATGTAATAAAAAGAGATTTTCTAATCGCAAAGGCTGCGATTACACTCATGGTCACATGACACCCAAGCAGTCTGAAAGCAGTCTGCAGACGAAGTTGATGCTTCGTCTACACGTTACGCTGTACCTTGCCTTCTTGTTGTACAATGGCCTTCAGCTTGACAGAAGCTGACACTACATAAACGTCACACAGGGAATGAAAGTAGCACCCGCGGGTAACGAGGTGGGGGGTGAAATCGTTGGGCCATCCGCGGCTTTGACGGACAGGAAAAATGCAGATAAAAAAACAGAAATAGAAATACACGTGTAGTAAAGTAAGCGTATTGTGGCGATCGGCGCCTGCGTCACACACACAGCCACCAGTCTGCTCAGAAAATATCTGTGAAACGGCGTTTCAACCCAAACTCACATATCCGAAAGAGGCCCAGTCTGTCCTGAGTTACAGCCAGTAACTGCGGGGGGACTCCGGTGTTGTCGGAGAATTACTAAGCTTGTCTATTAAACATGAGAGGCGAACTGGCCAACTTTTGAACTGAACCTCAAACTGAGTATTTTTTGTTTGCTTACTGGAATATAGAAAGATGGACTCCTAGGAGATTTGAATTGAGCTAAGGACGCATTAATTGGTGGTTGAACTGTGGGTTTTGCATTGAGCATGTACTGTCTAACACACTGTGTTGAGTTAGTTTTTCTTCTGGTCTGTTGGTAGGCCGACCTGATGATATTATATCATATTATTTAATGCCATTACTTGACTTAAATTATCTTTCTCATATTATTATAATTTGATATATCTTCTCCACCATTGCTCATAATAATAATTCTACCTAATTCATCATAACACAAGAAAGAACAGTGTAGTTCTGTCTATCTAATATTGTGTTGGTCATAGTATATACTGATTTACTGCTTGTCCATTTTGAATAATACAGAAGGTAAAGAGCTTAAAAATTAATCGCATATTAAATCGCAATCGCAATATTGGTATAAAAAAAAGTTGAATGCTTTTAATGGGAAGCAGTAGGAAATGTTGGGTTAGCATTAGCAGTAACTTAATACAGCTCTGATACAGCCTTAGGAGAGTGAACAGTAGATAGTGAGGCTGATTTCAAATTAAAAACAGTAACGCTGGATTACATGCATTTTTTACTGTGAATCCCTTGTGGCAGACTCCACTAATAATGAAAATTTCTATACAGAGAGGTAATTACAGAATGTAAATACATCGGATGCCTACTAAAGAAAAATTGTAACAATAGATCGTATTAAAAAGGCAGATTACAACTTTAAATTGGTTTCTGCAATAAAATAACAGTTTATCCCAACTTTCTCTCCTTATGTCCCAAGTTAAGCAATGTCTACTTCCCCTCATCACGTGCTGCAAATGTCAGCAGTTCCACCAAAGAGTAATTTATACGGCAGATTCTTTCATTTCAATAACATTCAGATCCTTACAAGGTAAAACTGAGAAAAAAACAATATATATATTGTGTGTTTTACTAACTTCACCCTGATCTGTGTTATACAGGTAGTTCAGGTTCTGCGAGCCATCGACAAGGACCAAGGAGGGCAGGACACCCCGGTCCACTTCAGCATCCCTCCAGAGTCCAGCTCTGCCCTCAACCTCACCATCAGGGAAACTGGAGGTTGCACAAATTGGCTGTGTTTTACTATTTCATGCACAATCCAGAAACAGGACACTGGCCAAAACTGGTGCGCCATTGTTGTGCAGTGACCGCGGTTGATTTGTGTGTTTTTTGCCACGTTATCAGGTGTGACAGCCAGCCTGGTGCTCCAGTCAGCCTTGGAGCCTCTCCCTGGTTTCTCCTCATCCTTACTCACCCTCTACGTGCCAGTTGTGCTGCGCGACGGGGCCTCGGGTCTGACCAACACTGGCACAGTTACTGTGACCATTTGTCCCTGTCTGCGAGGGGGCATGCAGACAGAGGATAGGGGGAGACAGAGGGACAGGAGATGGGAGAGACACATGGTTTGTCTCCCCATGCCGTCTGCCTCCACTTCTCTCATATTTAGCTTGGTCACCTTATTGGCCATGCTGGCCTGTGTCACTACTCTGCTGGGTAGGTTTGGTCAGTTCTCTGAAGCCTCTGAAGCACTATAAATATGTTGTTTGTGACTTTTGTTTGCTAAAGATGCTGAGCAGTTGTGTCAGGTTGCTTCTGAAACGTTTGAAGAGTATGTGGTCATGTGTCTCCTCTTTGCCCTTTAGTGGTGTGTGCACTCTCGCTGTCATTGCGCCATCAGAAGCGAGACTCCCACTCAACCTTCGAGGAGGATGATGTCAGGGAGAACATCATATCCTATGATGACGAAGGGGGAGGGGAGGCAGACACCGCAGCTTTTGACATTACAGCGCTGCAGAGCATGCACAGAATACAGCACATGCACAACAACAGAAACATGTGAGCTGGTCCGAGGAAAAAAAAAAAGTTTGTCCTTGCAATGGTAGCTCATGGGAGCTTGTGCATATTTGTGTGTGACTGTGTGCTTCTCTGACATTTATCTCTTGGCACAGATGGTACACTCAGCAGAATCCGCCAAGGGCCAGGACGTACAGCTGGAGTCGTAACCCATGTCCCGGCCTGGACCCTCAGCAGAGGCCGGGCTCTGCTCCGCTCTACGGGCGCCTCTGCTACGGCTTCCACACGCTGCCTGTTCTCAGAGATTATCCAGCTGGGCCGCTGGAGGCAGGTCTGCAGCTAACGCAGCTGACCCATGGGCTGACCGGAGGTCACATGGGCAATTCCCTTGTCATCCCGAACCAGAGCACCTTTGATCCTCTGCTGTGCTCTCCTGAGATGAGCTCTGCTAGTTACGAAGCAGAACACATGCTGGCAAAGAGCAAAATCCCAGACAGAAATGAAGCCAGTGAAGCAAACACAGCTGACACAAAAGAGAATCAGGATCAGGCCACGGTTAGATGATAGTGTTAATACTATCAGATACAAATATGTAGCACTTATTAAGCAAAGACAGGCCATTAGGATTTGAATCATATAAGCAAGTGTAATAATAGTGTTTCCCTGTCGTATAGCCTAAAATATTCATGACTAAACTTGCAACAGTGTGATTCATCAGGAAGTCAGGAGGGTGGTTTAATCAGATTTGATTACAGTCACTGGAACAACCCACCAACTTTCATCAGATTCTGATTCACAGAAGTAAGTGACATCGCCTATTTTAACCAAGTACCGCCCACTCCAGTAAAATACATAGTGTTCTTTTAGTATCCCATCGCTCATAGTAAGAAGCTGAAGCCTTTTTTATTTAATTTCTAATGCAATATAATTTATAACATTGGAAATTTGAAAACCATTATGTTAATTTATGTGATTGAAATTACCCTGTTTTTTTTACCCCTGTTATTGACAGTAATTTAAGTGGTGTCATTTTGAAAAATTACTTAAAGGTTTGTTTTCACAATTTCAAAGTCAGGTGGTCCAATATTCACTAACCTATATTCAAGTCGAGAATTGATTGGTTGAATTCAGACAGGGTCTCTTTATTGATTATTCCAGAAAGCAATTAAGCGGATTGTGGTGGGGGCTTCTGACCTAAATGTTCAAAATAAAATGATGAAATATTCAAACTTAAACATCCGTTCTACCAAGGATATGATAAGAGACCTCCATCCAATCAGGTTCAATTCTGTAAGCCACATGATCCAAGACAAGGAAGTTTAGATGAGCACAATTAAAAGTTTTTGAAGTTGCGAAACTTGAAATGATCTCATTTAAACCGCATCACTTCTGGTGGTTTTCAGAGAAAAATAGAGTTAATTCAGTGGTATTTAAATTTCAACATTAAGTATTCATTAGTGATTAAATTTCACAATAAGCCATTTCTCAGCTTAAAAAATTAAAATCTTCATGGCCTTTCTTTGCTTCCATACAATTATCCCTGCTTGTCTGCCTGAATTAATCTAATATCTCCCTTCTTCTCTTTTACAGATAAACCGAACAGAAACCGACTCGACACCAGCAAACAACGCTTCAGATCTGACCCACTGTGACCCAAATGAGTCCTCATGTCATAGTCACACCAGCTCCTCGTCAAACCAGCAAGAGGGGCGACCGGGGTCATCGCAGACTCAGATCAGCACTGGAGCCACCAGCTGCACATTAGATGACATTGATACTGATTCCTCCATTCCCTCTGTTTCAGAGCGAAATTATTCAAATGGCAGTCAGATCAACTGTATAAACCCTCCTGTTTACCTGACAGGAGACACATACAGCATTGTGGGCTCGCTGAATCCAAACAGCAGAGGGACATGTATGAACGGGACGAGTGGCAGCGGGGTGTACCCAGTGGGAGTGCAGCTACTGAACATGTGCAGACTCCAGAGAAAGGATTTGACCCCACAGCCGTTGTCCTTACCTGGGGGGTTGTTTGGCAACAACAGAGGATGGGTGTGCGCAGCAGAGCCCGTGAGAGCAGAGGCCGCCAACCCGCAGCCTCTCCGCATGGAAGACCTCCTGAATATCCGTCTGGATCAGGTCACCTTTGACCTGTCGCAGCCGCCCTATGACTCAGTGCAGACTTATGAGTTTGAGGGCCGTGATTCAAGGGCTGAGTCACTGAGTTCACTGGAGAGCGATGGAGAGAAGGACGACGGGAGGGCAGTGGGAGGGATGGAGGAGTTAAACCAGAAGTTTCACAGGCTGGTGCAGATCATCAGAGAGAGGGAGAAGGAGAAGGAGGGCGAAGGAGGAGAGACACGGGCGGCTGAGGGAGGTGAGGCTGCAGAGGCTACCCTCGATGAGACTCATAAACAAAAAGAGGACAAAGAACAGCAGAAATGGGATTTCTAGACTGAAGTAAAAGAAAAGTTAGAGAGAGGAGAACTCAGTCGACAGTGATGGATTTTAAACACAGCGGGGGTGACAAAACACACAGCCTCTGACAGAAATCTTCTTGTCCCCCCCCCACCCCCTGCCAGGAGAAATCCAGGAGGATGACAGTATAGTCAAGATTCATGGTGGAATCCGTGCACAGCGTATAGTTTTCACCTCCACTATGTTTATAAAATGCATATGGAATCTGTCACTTTTCACACTGCTCTTGTAACCGATATTAATAATGCACTTGGGCTTTCAAAGCTAAAGTTATGAAAGATTAACTTGATTCAGAGCCCTGAAAGCTGCATTGTTAGAAAATAGGCCTCATCAAATATTGACCAGAATTGTGATGTTTAATATTGATAGTTTAATAGGGGCACGCTCACTCGACATACTTGGAATTTGAATGCGACATTTGCATCTGAATTGGAGAGTTTTAAAACCACACAAGCGTACAGGACTGTTGACCTACACTGCCACGTGTTCACAGAGCCTCTCCCATGAGTCTAAGTGTATACATTTATATTCTGTAGCTCTGTAGAGAGAGTTCACTACAGCAAGTAGTCACCATTATGGTAGCAAAACCTGCTCGCTATGCAATTTGCACACAGTTAGAAATGATTAGATTGTCACTGTCAAAGATTTGTGTACTGTTGTGAAAGTACAGTAAATAATGTCCATATGTAGATAAATATCAACATTTGCTTTAGTGGTCATTTACTGGAATCCACACAGGAATATAAGCATTTCATTTTCAGTCATTAAAGTGTTGCAGACTTACAATATACAACGCTCCCCATAATTTCACCCACACAAGATTATTTATAAGTCACTATTGTGTTTGCGTCTGCTCATCTAGAATTATCTCCAAAGGCTTATTTATCTCCCACGTTTTAAAGAGACAAAATTAGGCAAAAGCCATTATGCGATGCGGGACACACAGGCATTGTTCTTGTGATCAGCCCAGAACACAGAGGCAACAGCAAAATAAATATTTACTTTGAAATTGTGTAATGGTATTCAGGCAATCTGTCATTTGACAATGAGTCATTTCTATAGTTATTTCAAACTGCATTTATTATTCAGAAGGTATAATGATGAGTTACTAACATAATGACATTATTTTCAATAATGTGATGAAATGTATTTGACTTTCTGCAATTATTTCTGCTTTCTATTGTCCTCTACAGTGGGAATTTAGGTCTTAATCAGCCAACGCTCTAATAAGATTGCGATGCTTTCAAACAAACTTTGACAGGAAATCTTTGGCATCCTGACAAGAAAAATGAGGTGAAAAAATGGCTGGACTCCTCAGGCAAGAAAATGAAATGCAGAGGAAAAGGAGAGGGATATTACATGAAGTGCCAAATGATGACTAGTCATCACCATGCTGCATGTTGTCAGTACACAGTGGGTATCTTCTGCCATAATAATGCCTGCTGCAGAAATATCATTGTACAAAAGCTTAAGAAGAAGAAGACATATCTTCACCTAGAGATCAGGAACAGATTTAATTTAACAATGAACTAAATATAGACACAAGTTAGAACGCGAAAGACTTTCTGCATTACCACTTTAAAAAAAGTTAGACAAAAATAGAATAACAGTAAATTAAAGTATGTTTGAAATTCAAATGTTTAAAGGGTACTAAGAAGAGTGCTGTGAAGAAGAGGACAGCAGCGTCTGTCCAGGCGACAGCAACTGACAGTACAAGGGTGCCACCTAAAGTTAAACACATGGATTTCATCTTTGCCGTTGTCTAAGCAGTGAATTGTAATATCAGGACACAGCAGCCAGAAGTATTGGTTAAAAAAAACAACAACAGAAAAATAGATTCAGTTCTGATAAAGAGCATTGTTCATGTTTATCTATGTAAAGTTAGAAGACTTGTTTGAAGAAAAGTTTAGTTGTGCAGATGCTTCCTGATGTGGGACACTGACTGTCACACTGTTTATGGCTCACAATTATTTTAATCCCTCATTTTAAGCCTAAGGGAAACTATGAAAATTATAGGGGAAGGAGGAAACAAGTTTAGAGGAAAATCTGAAAAAATAAACAATTTGTGTAGCAGGTTTTTTTTTTTTTTTTTTTTTTTGCTTTCATGTCCTGTTAATCATCTTGTGATCCCTTAGATATATTTTGGAAACCTTTAATGGGGGTCCTGACAAGGTAGGGAACCACTAATGAAATAACTAACTACAAAAATTATTGGGTGGGAAGGGAGGACTTTTTTTAAACCAAACACCCTCCTACAAATATTTCAAAATAATATTCCCCCCACCCCAATAATTTGTGTAAAGTCCGTGATTGGCTCTTCTTGTAGCTACCAATTACTGTTTTTATCAAAGGAGTCTGGTGGCTTTGATAAGAGTGATGTAGTGACTGATTCTGGTTAAACAAAAATGATCTTACTCTTTAAAAAAAGTTCTATCTCCATAATGTTGTCAGACACTATCTGAGCCTGTCAGTGGCAAAAGTATAAAACTAGGCGCAATTGCCCGCAAGGATTACTTTGTAGCCATGACACGCTGCTGTCGACTGCAGCACGCTCAGTCAATACTGGAACAATTTCAAAAGAATTTGTCCCAATTAGTAACATAGACACAAAAACATGGGAAAATACAGTCTGGGTTGAAAAATACCATGTTACCCTTTAAAGGCTTAAAATGCCTTGGTGCATATGCAAGCAAAATGGGCATCCCTGACAGAAAATTGAACCAATGCACAGGACAAGAAAGGTCCCCATAGGTCACCACAAAATCAGACCTTCATCTGGACCAACAAAGGCCATATTGTTTTGTAAGCATGTTCAGTGGCCAAGAATTGGGAAAGTTTAAAGTTGGCTTTTACTAACCTGTTTACAAAACTGGTTGATGTACAGAACATGTCAGAAACTCTGTTTTGATAATGAGCCTGACCACTGTTCATTTCAACAAGACTTGCATTTTTGAAACAGCGGCGGACACCACCTCTGGGTGCTCGTTTGAATTTGATCGCATCAAAATTGCATTTTGGAAAGAAATACAGGTTATATCTAGCAAGAGACTTGTCTATAGTCTAGCATTTGTTTTTGATTAGAAAAATACAGATATACATCTAGAGATATGTATATTCTCTATATATCAAGATTACTTTTTTGCCATAAATCCCAGTTCTACATAGTCTACTAACGCCATATTGAACTGGAAATAAGCCCTTGTTTTATATGAGACCAGTTTCTTGCTTGTTTTCATCTCATTCATTTATTTGTTTAAATATACAATAGAGTAAATGGTTAGCACAGTCACCAGATTTCTTTTTAAAGAGCAGATCACATCATCAGATCCTTTGCAAAAGATACCCAAAAGATAAAGCGACACATACCCTTTCACACAGTAATTCAGCAGTTTAATTTATCATTACTAAACATATATATACTAAACATAACATATACAGAAAGTATACATTCATTTAGAAAATGAAAGTACTGGCATTAAAAAAAAATGCTTGTTTCTTTTTGAGGCAACAGGTAATGGCAGTATTGAAATGTTCAGCAAAAAATCAAATGTATTAAATCACCAGACTTATGATAAACTTCAACTTACAAGTCTACACGGAGCAGCTTAATATCCTTTTTTCCCATCTTATTGTTTACATGGAAGAGTTTTTATATAAGGGTTTTACATTTACATCTGTGTGAATCCTGCATCATCTGAAAAAGACATGTTGTAAACACCCTCACTTGCAGTGCCGTTTTCCAGCGTTTTCACCCGCGTCTCTTCATCATGGCCTTCATTGTTCGTCTTTTCGTTCTTTTTGCTAGAAAAAGAAGCCAGAACCAGGACTGACTGAGCAAAGTAATCACATTTACAAACTGATCAATGTAATGCAACTGCAACCATCATGCTTACCGTTTCTTTTGGACCACAGAGGACACAAGCAGAACAATGATGCCAGCAAACACAGCACCTATTACCACCCCGAACACAATGAGCCACGGAGGGGTGTCAGGGTTGACTGGTGCTGCCAGCGTGGGAGGGATGCCGATAAACTCCAGAGTCTTATCAGTTAGCAGAAAGGCATTGTTGATGCGATTCCTGGACTTTCTTTTGGAAAAAGTTAAAGTTTAGATTTAGAACACATATAATCCTTCAAATACTGACTTTTCAGGCCAACATGTGTCTGTCGCAAGTCAAATTTTGTGTGCCACTGATACTTAAATGTATCCATCCAATTTTTAAAGAATTATCCTGGTCAGGGTCAGTGATTACAGGTAAGCAGAATAGCTCAAACATTTGTCACATCAGCAGTTTTTCCCTGGCAACTTTCTCTAGCTCCTCTCAAAGTACTTGAAACTGATGAGTTACAAAACATGTTTCATCAGTGATAAAGTTGTTCTCAAAACTACAAACGTGGCTCAAGCTTTGATTCATCAAGTCAAGACAGTTTATTACTTTGTAGCTCAAATTCTTGATTTGTCTCTAGGGTTTTACACTGCTTTATGTTGTAGATCCACACTTCCTCAATTTGAATTAATTCAACCCCTCTCCAGTGTACTGTTAAGTTTTCTAGTGGACTAAAAAAAGCAATAGATTTTATTATTCTAGTACCAAAAAGTTAAAACTCCCATCTGCAATCTATGTAATAAAATATCGATACTTGGCGCCCATGTATCGATACAGTATTGCCATGGCAAATATCACGATATTATGCTGTATCAATTTTTTCCCCCACCCCTAAAAACCTCCAAAAGGTAAGAAGCCAGGGTGAATCCTTCCTAGGTACAATTTAAACTGGGTCCTGTCAGTGTGAAGGATACAACAGTCCTGTTGGGCTTTACACATGACGCACAGGTCTCTCTTTAGATATAGACTTTCCCTACTACATTCAATAATGGGATGCTCCCATGCTTATTGCCACAGTACTACGTTAGAAAGAGTATGTTCAGAAATGCTTTAGGAATAATCATATTGGGTGTCTGAGCTATTGAAGAAGGCAAATCATATGTAGCACACTTCATAGAAAAGCAAGTGGTTTGGTTGGCTACGTGTCCACATCAGCAGATACAGGCAACAATAGTAGGCTAAGCAGCAAGCACGTATGATATTGTCATGTAGATTAAAAAATAATAAGTTGAATAATTGTATTAAACAGAAAGAGCTTAATTAGAGATAATGAACATGCTAAACAAAGTGCACTAGAAATAACCATGTTGCACAGCAGCTATTTCTAATTGACACACAATGAAAGCAAAACCTTTATACTTTAACTTAAGTAGGTTTGTCAAATGGTAATTTCTACTTTTTAATATTTACCATTATTCCACAATTATTACTTTATTGTTCAGAAAAATTACCTAGTCTCACTTTAACTAGCTAACCAGGATAAAAGCTTCTGCATTGTGAATCATTGTCAGCTCAAGAAGTTATATTTGTGTATCTGAGATTATTGCTTATCTGGATTCTGGATCCCCAGTGGCCATTAATTGTCTTGGCACTACTATTTCTGGGCTCTGTGTTAAAATAACCTACTGTATGATCAATGAATGGTTGCACAGGTGCAGTGTCACGGCATCATGTGATTACCTTACAGCATCCTCCACAAGTTTTTTATCAACTAGGCGTGATGTGTTCAGTGGTGACGTCACCACAAACCAGAACGACACTCTGGGAGTCTCATTGCATACAATGATGTTTGACACGCTGGTGAAGTTCCACAAGACAATAAAGACCACATCAGTGTCGTAACATGTCCATAAACCATGAGTCAATGATTTCATTACGGTAAAAAGAGATCATATAATATAGTTATTGTGATCATTTTATTAACACACAAAAGCAACAAAAAAAAAAAACAGCAAAAGAGAACACACAAAAGTTTTCTTACTCATATTCCTGGCCGCTGGAGTTGCTCCTCATTGCAAAAGCCAGAGTTGCTCGGAAAAGGAACATTTCATTTTCATTCCAAACATACTGCAATAACAACAACAGGTCATGTGCTGTTTTCAGTGAAGTCGTTTAAGGTTAATTGATCACCAGATGGACCTTGTCCTCATGGTAAGCAGTCACACGCACGTTTAGTAAATCCTAGCATATGACTGTACATAATGGTAGCTAGTTGCATGAACGATCAGTTGATTGTGAATATTATGCCACAGTGTTTGAAGAGCATATAACACTTCCGACAGTTGTTTATAATTTGATGCTTCGATCATTTTGTGCAGGCGGGTGAATATTTAAATATATACGTACAGCCTGATCTCCCAGGGCACTTTTGATGCTGAGTCGAACTTTGTAGCCATCTGAAGCGTCTATATATATAAAACAAATTTAAATGCATTGTTAGGAGAATTTAACATCATTTCTTGAATGCTTCATCAGTAACTCTCTCATAGAGGTGTAGAAAGACGGCATATATACTAGCATGTGTTTTAGAATAATTGTTGATGTCAAATGGAGGCCATTGTTATGAGGCAAACATTTGAGTTATGCATCTAATCCAGTTTTGTTTCAGATTAGAAGCTGCATTCCACACTTGAGAGGCAACAAAGGAGCACTACTAGACGGACAGCTTTACAGTAACAATGCTTGTGTTTGCCAATTCTATCTTAGTAGAAATACAATGTAGGATAACATGGGAATACAAAATATTTCACCCAAGCTTTTTATATCTGAGGCATTAAGTGTGGTCACCTACCTGGTGTACAGAGCTTTTCTGCCAGAGCAGATGACAAACAGAGCAGGAATAGGATCTTTTCCATCACTTCCCCAGAGAAGCAGAATAATAAAATGCTGCGAAAAGCTCAAGTGATTAGTGATTTGAGGAGGTCAACATTGGATATGGTCTGAGGTTAATGCTTAAGCCAGGACACACCTGAACTAACCCGCCCTCACTGTATAACATGGAAACTGTAGAGTGTGTGCTGCGGTGGAAGTGTTACTGTTTGTTCAGGCTTTCAAGGAGCCAGATAGGTTCGCTAATGTGTGAGAGGAGACCTGACGGAGAGGAACAAAACGTCTCAGTCTGCTTCTGTTTACTCAGCACAGTGCAGTGTTATGACCTGGCCATCCAGTATGCCAGGCACCTTTATATTAGCATGAAAACAGGATCTCAAAGATTGTATCAAATCAAACCAAATGAAAAAGTATCCGACCATATCTGCTCAGTAGTTGAGATAAGGTTACAGGATGCTGACAGTGTGCACTACATTCAGCACATAGTGACCCAACACTGGTACATGTCAGACTAAAGAGTTATTCTGCCTCCTTTACTGTGCCAACTCTTGATTTCATGAAAAGTTTACTTTACCTACTCCCTGTCTCACCTGAACACAACAACTATCAGGTCTAACCTAGCTTTGCTATGTGAGGCAGACAATAAAATGCTGAACCGTTTCAACCAAATCTGCCAGACTAGACTCAGTTCACTGGACAAAGTTGTGAAAAGACATTGTTATAGACAAAACCACAGTGAAAATTCTTAACTCGAGACACATGTTTAAGGTTAATCATCCATTCTGCCTTGACAATCACACTCGCAATTTGGTTAATTTTTCATCCACTGTGTAGTCAGTGGTGGATGACTGACAGAGCCATTTATAAGAAACTAAGTTGACACAGTACAATCGAGGCAAAGCCTGTTGCCAAGTTTGCTTTTTAAGTCTCTCTCATGATAGCAGTCTATATATACCATTTAAAACCCAGACCATATTAAACTGTGCACTGGGCCTAAACGATCTTTTGCTCCCATAAAATGTCATAAGTGTTTTTCCATAAAACAGACAACACCCATGCTGAAATAATATAAACACATCTTACAGAGATTCACAGTACAAACCCTGCTAAAAGTCATGCTTCATCATTTTTTTATCTGGTTGGTTACAGTAAAGAACAATTAAAGAAAAATACTGTGTTGTCTTGTGTTGTGCTGTTCTTTTCACTTCTGTCCAAGTTTGCTTATTTAGAGAAAAACATAATGGAAAATCTAAAGTTCTCTTTTGGAGACATCCCATCCCATGAGTAAATCTGACTTAAACACTAGCAACTGCTCCCAGTTAAGTCTCTGCAAAAAACTGTTTTACATATTCTTTTGCCATGGTACCACAGACTGCAGGTGTTTCCTTGAACAGATGATGGCAGCAGAGGCATTACTTTAGGACTTGGTTTTAAGAAAACTTCAATGAATTTCGATTTCCGACTAATGAGGAGCAACATTCATTATTTTATCATGGTGCTGTTTTTGAAATAGCCCAAAACATTATTAGAGTTCTGTCTTTGGTTGGCGCATCTACAGCCCCACCCGCTTTAGAAAATGAATTGGTTTCAGTTAAAAGTTGGGCTATAGGTAGCCTTAATGATGATGCTATGGTAACTCATTCAGTCACCTTTTTTTGATATACTTTACTTGAACGTTTCAAATTCCAATTTAAATTCCTACTCCACTACATTTCAGAGGGAAATGTACTTTTTACTAAACTACATTTGTCTTACAGCTTTAGTTGCTTTTCAGAATAAGATTTCTCGCCATGGTTTCATTTAAATAACTGTTTGAGGCTCAAATTATTAAATGATCCAATATTTCACAAAAAAAGAAAAATAAAGTCAAAAAATTATTGAAGAATTTATTAAGCAGAGCTTTGTTTTTTCTTATTTTCCTGCCCCACTGACCATCTCATGACTCCTCAGATTTATTTTGTGACTATTTGGAGGACCACGATCCCTCGCTCCTGCGTCAACCAGCTACAGCAGCAAAATGCTCCTCCTTGTGCACCGATGCATCAGTGGCCCACCGGCCCTAAATAAACTGCATTACCCAGGGGGCACTACGTTCTGCTCACCTGTTTCTGGTCTCGCCTGCCTGCTACTATGTGCGTTGGAGGCTTTTTATATACATTCTACCTGCGTGAACTTGCTGTAAGTTTAGAATCAGAAATGCCGCGAGATCAGTCCAAAGGTGGTTCCAACTTTGTGTCGCCGGACTCAGCGACTGCAGCCGCCTTGCTCCCGCGAGGTTTTAATGTCATGTGACATGGTGAAGTTTTGCAGCGCCGGCGAAAGTCAGACGCTGTTTGTAGCGTGCATCACATTAAGTCAGCGCTGAGTCAGGAGGGAGAAGATCGGGTGCCTTTTTCAAAAGAACATGTTCAGCTTTTCATAAAGTCGCGCATCAGTGTCACGTTTCGTGGTACGACCAATCACAGCCTGGATGGGGCGGGACATTAAAAAAATCATGACGTCCTGCAGCACACTTCCAAATGTTGAACTCGTGCATGAATGGTTATAATAATTGTACATAGCATTAACAAATTAGGGAATAACCACAATGTCTAGTGCATTTTCTTGCTCAAGGATTTTATGAATTAAAACAACCCGCAAAATGAAACTACTGTAGGATATTGTCCAACTGGAATACTAGTGGTAAGCTATGAAGTATAGCCTACTGGTATCTGAAACTATAATGAATACATCAACAGTAGGCCTACATCTAATGAAACCTCGGTGGTGTAATAAAACTACTCGATACACACACCAACATGTGAATGGGGATTGCTGGAGTTCACGCGCACACCGCCACCACCTATACTACAGTTGTTTCTTCATTATGGGGTGGTAAGACAAAGCAGCCCATTATTTCAGAGACAATGCCTCCCTCTTCTTCCTGTGCTCTACTGCCCCCAGCAGGCGCATGCTACAATCAGCCACAACAGGCAATAGGAGTGGATGAGCCTGAACCGAGCAGTCAGTCTGTCTTCACCACATGAACACTCCTGTCGGAGGTGAGACCGCCCTCCTCCTGCCAAACCCCCGCTTCCGACTTGAAACAGGAGCCGGTGTCCGGAGCAGGATGTATCGATCTGTTTGCTTGTAGTGCTTCTCCGGCGGATTCCTCAATGCGCCAGCCCCTGGAATGGATCTGGAATCCGGTGTGGCGTCCGCAGGGAGTTTCATCTCCCTGAATGAACATGAACAGAGGTATTACTCAGGTCTCCACGGTCTGTGCCAAGCTGACACCTCAGGAAAACTGTCGCCCAGCAAAGTGGCAGAGCTGTTCAAGGCGTCTCAGCTACCTCCTGAATCCCTGCATAAAGTGAGTATTGCTTGCATCGCGCATCTGCGCCTGCCTGGTCATCACATGTTATGAAGCGTAAAGGGCTGGGAGCTGCGGCTGCTGATCTGCAGTGGACAAACTGAGCAGGGGTCAAAATGATTAGTCTGCAGGCTCAAATGGATGATAATGAGCCATGATAGGTATTGGGTTTTTGGCGTGTCTGCCAGGTTGTGTGTGTGTGTGTGTGTGTGTGTGTGTGTGTGTGTGTGTGTGTGTGTGTGTGAGTGTGAGGGGTTTTTCACACCTCCTTTCTTTAGTCTCACACTCGAAGGCAGTCCCTCTACTTACTGCATTAGCTGTGATGTGTCTCCTCACTACATTTGTAGCCCTTTAGTTTGTCTGTTTATCCACTCAAAAAGAAAATGTCAAATTAGGTTGAGGCTTTTAGTTGTCAGAGTCAAATTAGAGATAGTAATGTCTTTCCAATATCCACACAGGTGTAGATGTGTGCACCAGCTGTCATATCATTCTTTGCTCAGTTGAGTTAATTTGTAATTAGTTTGTTTACTACTGTGGGCAGAAGAATTTCTGATGTTTCAAGTTTTGTACTAAGCCACTATTAGTTAAGTCTGCAAAATCTGCTTAACAGAGAACATTAATGGAAACTAATGGATGCCTGGAGCAAGAGGAAAAATACAACTAAACCTAATGCCCACAGCATTTGAAAAAATATATAATAATATTTATTAAAAATAAAAAAATGTGATATTTACATGATTTATAGTTAAGGAGCTAAAACTTGCAAAAACACAGGCTCCTTTTTAAGTTTGCGCCCACCATCACTGACACAAAATCTCACCATAAAAGGTTTGTGGGTCTAATTCGAGCTTTGAAAAGACAACATATAAGATTCAAACTACTCGGTCTTTCTGTACCCTCTCATAGAACAGTGATATTTCTTTCTCTTTTCATATTATTTCTTATCAAGGGATGATACCATGTGTGCTTGACAGTAAAGATAGAAGCAGTGGTCTTGCTAAACAGTTTTTATTGGCTCCAGAACACAGTAATTTTGCTGACCCATCACAGGGACATAAACATATTTTTCCAGCTCAGATGAGCACAGCAGGTTGCCGCCTCCATTCACACCACTCACTGTCTCGTGGGGTCAGCTCCCAGCGATCGCAGCCTATTGTGTCTCTGTGTGGGTGTCAGGAAGTTTGGCATCGAGCTCTGCTTCCTTCCTGTCCGGCCTGGATCGCCGCCACCACACGGGGGGTGATTGACACACAGCCTTCTGAGCTGTTCGGCCCCGCTGCAGGATGCCTGCAGGATCACTCTTGGACTCAGTGCTGACTTCTGGGTCATTATGTCAAACCGTATCAGAGAATAATAAATGGTAAATTTCACTCAGGATATATGATGCTAGAGGAGCTGTGATGCGATCTGACTTGGATTTTACTGTAAATACACTCTTTGTTATTTGTCAAAACAAAGGTAATTTTCCATTGTGTGCTGTTGAGTCATGATTCACCTAAATTGACCAGATTTACAGAGGAAGGATCTTTATGTCTCACATGTGGTCACAGCAGATAAGTAGTAAAAGTATGACCCTTCTTCCTGCTGAGCTGTCATTGCTGTGTGTCAAGCCAATAATCAGCTCAGCTTCCCACACATTACTCTGCGATAAAATCAGTTGTTTTGCTGATTTCAGTACAGCAAATGTTTCCCATAACGTTTTATCGTGTGAACATGTTAACAGCCAGAGTAGCCATTTGGAGCACATAAGGGAAGGTTAAATGTTTAGTTGGATGACTCGCCTGTGTGGGCAAATTACTACAAGTAATGTGGACTTGAAATTGCGTGATTTAGCCATTTAACAATCTGCTTGCTTTGTCAGGTTGAAGATGAAGTCTCTGGTGTGTGCCGAATACAGTGACATGCTGAGTTACATGTAATTATGTGTTGACAGACGTTGCTGTAGAACCTGTCTGGTTGACTAAGGCGTGTCCTTGATCAACATGTAACTTTCCAGAATTCGGCTCTCCTGGTGTTGTGACATCCAGAACTGTTAGTGCTACGTGCTGCTTGCAGCAGTTGCTCGAATGCCCAATAGGAACATTGATCTTGTTTTTAGCCATGCTAGAGGTGAGGCTTGACATTGCTGCCTTTTGGCTGTTCAATGGATTGCCATGAAAGTTTGACATTCGTGGTTCCCAGATGATAAATCCTAATGATTTTGGTGATCCCCTTTTGCTCTTGCGCCGCCGTGAAGTTTGTGGGTTTTTTGTGGTTTTGAGCAACTATTGGATGGATACCGGGTATGGGTACCGACACTCATGCCCCCCTTTAGATGAATTGTAATAACTTGCTAAAGTACAGATTCAGTATTGCACTCCTTTAAAATTGTCAGACTCACAATGGACAGAAAAGGCTCAAAATCAATGCCACAGAACCAGACCACAGAGATATCATCTTTTTTATTCCACACATGTTCCATGTGGTCAAAACCTCTCACCTATATTACCCACAATGCATCTGGACCGCTGACAGTCCAGTTGGAGATTCAGGTGTGTTATGCCAGTATAATCTAATGTATTCTTGAGCTGCAAGCCTCAAGCAGAGATGAGTAGATAGTCTGGTTAGTTCACTTCTTTCTAACTCCACACCCCCAAATTATATTTCTAAGGCTTCATCTGAAGCCGAGGCTGACTCAAGTGACATCATTTGAGGTAATTTAACAGACTTGTGGGGCCACAAATAATCTTTATGCAACTTTTATTTTCACATATGCAGTAGTACCCAGTGGAGTTCCCCTTTAACTTTTCATCTAGCGCCTTCAATCAGGTCAATATTTCAGTGCATCCAATACTTTGGGTTTTACAACAAAATACATCCAAAACCAATGACATTCCCATTATCCTCAGCTGTACCTTTTGTGTAGTGTTAATTAGCACCTTTTAGCATGCCAACATGCTACTAAACATGGTGCGTGTTAGCTTTGTCATTGTTAGCATGTTAGCTTTCTTGTTTTCATGCTTGCAAATGCGTGTCAGATATCCTGCATCTTAACATGGCTAAACTCAAACTTGAATTACTTGTTCACATAGTCAACTGGGCACATGATTAATTGATATGCGCTGAGATGCTTTTGGCATTCTTCCATCTTCCTTAAATAACTTTCCCCCCTCAGGCCATAGATCTGACCTGCCAGTCTGGATCCTCAAGGCCTTCACTGGTGTTCCTGAAATACTCTGAATGAAAAGAATTCATCTTTCTCTGCAGACCTCTGGCACACTCAGCGCCACAGAGCTGACCTCCACTGTCTGCTCAGACTCTCACTGGCCTGTAGTTATTTTGGATCTCATCTGCCTGTGAAAGCCGTTGAATGAATACAATGCAGGTCAAGCAGAAATAATGCCTCGTAAGGCCACGCACCCTCCAAACTCATTAGACAATGGGTATTAACAGCACTTCTGTCATTCATTTTTCATAAACACATACCAGCCAATGTTTTCCTACTCCTCTGTCACTGTGGTTTTGAACAATGTTGCACTCTAGTGATTCATTTAAAACCGGGGCTATGGTGCTATTTTGTATGTTTCTAAAAAAAAAAAAAAAAAACATTAAACACTGTTAATCCATTGTTGCCACAAGAAGAGTATAAGCTTTTCCGTTTTGTTTGGTTTTGTCATCTGTCAGTCACCTCTTCCATGTTGAAAATCGTCCATTGTGTTGTTGAAGTGACTTGGGAAAACTGAGCTGTAGCCATTTTGCTTTTTTTTCTTTAACAATATTGTTCTCAATATGTCCGGGCCTTTTGTCATAGCTACAATTTGAGGGGTGAACTGTAATATAATTTAAATGAATGGTTAATTAAAGTTACCTGTCAAATTAGAACAAATCTATTCCCCATCAAAAACTTTAATGAGGAAGTGATGAAACAGTGGTTACAGTACAGAGAGTTATTGAAGCACCAACTAGTCAAGTGAACTGCCCTGCTGCCCCTGAGGGCTCAAGAACCCAGGATATCTTTGTGAACGAAAATTCCCTTATTGGCTTTCTTTTACAAAACTAGCTGTTTCACCTTGCTTCCAGTCTTTGTAAGGTAAGCTAACTGACTGCTGGCTAAAAGCTTACCTTACACCAGTAGTTCTCAAACTGGGGGGGGCGTAGAGCCACTTCATCCATTTCATGTCGAGTTGCATGAATATGATTCATGTGGTGACAAACAAACAAAAGTGCTCTGATGCTTGCAAGGCCATTTTGCAAACCTGAATTTTGTTTGTTTCAGTCTTCTGTAGCGTTAATTAAGAATAAAAATTATATCCGCTTTTGGCTTGTGACAGTTGTGAGAACCACTGGCCAACACCAATAGAAAACTGGTGTAAAAACCAAGATGTAGAGGGAGTTGTGAGCTTCAGTGTTGCTGGCACATGGATTTTGTTACCTTCAGACTGAGCCAGGATGTTTCCCTCTTGTTTGAAGTCCTTCTGCGAGGCGGAGGTAATGTGTCGGCTGACAGTACAGTATTTACTATACTGTTCCATCTACTCCACTGTCAGTAAGAAAGCAAATATGGGTAATTTTCAACATGTCGAACTATTCCTTTCTGAATTTCAGCAGGCACATACCCCTCTCTGAGCAAAATGGTGTGTGTGTGTGTGTGTGTGTGTGTGTGTGTGTGTGTGTGTGTGTGTGTGTGTGTGTGTGTGTGTGTGTGTGTGTGTGTGTGTGTGTGTGTGTGTGTGTGTGTGTGTGTGTGTGTGTGTGTGTGTGGCATTAATACTTCCATGACAAAGAACCGTTATTCAGGGTTGCTTTGTTTCCATATTGTATTTAAGAGCTAAAAGTAATTTTTGTCATAGAGGAGCCTGTATTCACATCAGCACAGATATAAACAGTCCAGCTTTTCAAGAACCCGTTTTTATTGATTTTCTTTCCAAATGAAAATTTCTTTCAGTTATATTTTGGGGAAATTTGACCCTGATTGTCCCACACAATCCTAATCTTCTTTGCGCTCCCAAAGCATTCATTGTTCTTTTAATCAAAAGAGTACTGGATAAACAGATCCCACTGTGGTGCTTATCCCTTACATGATGTTTCTGCTAGCTTTATTCTGTTAGTAGAGCCTGTAATGTTGTACCACACATTATCTTGATCATGGTGTAAAATAATCACACACTTATGCTTACTCTAGTCCAGGCAGTATGTATCAGGAGATGTTACAGAGTAATGTATTATTAACATATTATCTACAGTTGTCCTTTGTTGTGTTCTTTTATTAATCTACATATTCTGTGTGTTTTCAGGTGACTGAGGTGTGTGGAGCGAAGCATCTGGGCTACTTTGGTACACCTCAGTTCTATGTGGCCCTGAAGCTGCTCGCGGCCGCTCAGTCTGGCCTGCCCATCCACCTGGAGAGTGTAACAGCCAGTAAGTCTGCTGCTCAGAGAGGAGGCGTCTTATGAGAGCAAAAGGGGATCAGGAGATTATCTTAACATGGCAGGATTTGGTCTAATCTGGATGAAAGGGGAGTCGCGTGGAAAGGACTAAGTGGGTTGGCCCTTATTACAAGAGCGCACAATCAGTCACACCGAGGCAAAAGAGAAAATCTGTTTTCTACGTAGCACATGGCTGCTTGATGGATTATTAGAAAAAGTATGTCAGAGTTTTGTATTCACTGTGGTGGTGTTCAGTTAGCTCACCTCGGCAAAGTAAGACATGTTAAGAAGTGTAAAGACGCTCAACCTGATTAATTCCCTCAGTCTAATTCTAGATGTATCAAAGGTCGCCATACTGGAAGCTCCTGATCAGGCAAGAATCACAATCTTCTTTAGAATACTTTTGTTTTTAAACTTATTTCCCAAGGAGAAGAAAAAAGGAAACAATGTTAAATACCGAAAGAAAAAATCCCAAACTAACATGGTAAACAAGAATCATAAACAAGCCTCATGTCTCCCTTTAGATCTACCTCTGCCCAGGTTTGTTGGGCTGAAGAATGAACCAGAGATGCGATACTCAGCCATCCCTCCGAGCATTGACGGTCAGGGGGGTCAGTGTGGGATTGCACTTGGCTCTGTATCCTGGACTCCAGCAGACAGGAGCGCCTTCAGACCCTTGGAGGCCAACACAGAGAAGAAGGTAAGCTTGCGAGTAAATATCTGATGCTACAAAACATTATGTGCTGACTTCCTCGCTCTCTGTTAAGATGTGTTAGAACAACATTGAGTTAGCCAGTTAGCTCACTTGCAGCGGCCCGGGTTCGAGTACAGCCCATGGCCCTTTCCTGCATGTCGTCTCTCTCTCTCTCTCTCCCCCACATTTCCTGTCTCTCTTCAGCTGCCCTACCCAAAATAAATGCAAAAGCCCCAAAAAATGTGTGAGTGGGTGCTGTGCTGAGGAGAGCTGACCGAGAAAGTCATCTATAATGATCAGAGCTTCCTCACTGAGAGATTAGAGGAGAATGACTAGCCTCCTTCCATGTACCAAACCGGCCACGGGTATGGGATATCTCGCAACACAACCCTAATGAAAAACGTGATGTGGATCACCAAAACTGGATAACTGAAGAGTCGACAAACTGCAGCCTTTTCTGGCAGCAACTGTAACAACTTGCTGATGGCAGCAAAATCTGAAATTAATGGCATGAATTTGGGTTGTTAGTGCCAGTCCCGTGCTGCATTATACTTAAAGTAAGTCGCTTTGGATAAAAGATGAATGACAAGTTATTATTATTGAAAGGAATTGTTCACAGTTGGTCAAGTCATGTGACCATTTGAACAATGAAAGAGATTTTGCTGTAATCATTCCTTCTTTCCAGTGTAAATGATGGGGGATAAAATCCACAGTCCTCATTTTGTGCAAAAAGCAAAAAGATTCTCTTTTGAATATATCTACTTTATTTGATAAACCCTGCTGAAGGCTCATGTTAACTTTTTGTACAAAATGAGGACTGTGGTTGTTGGCCCCGATCACTTACATCGAAAGCGCAATAGGAAGGCGTCTTATGGTCAGTATGAACAGGTTACAATTACGCAACTACTGCAAGCAAACCTGTTTCAATGGGCCAATAAAACCATTTATGCATTGTCGTTGTGGCACTGTGGCAGTCTAGGGGTTAAGGTGCCGACCATGAATCACAGTGTCCCTGCTTCGAGTTCAGTGGGAGACCCTTGTTATATGGCATCCCCCGTCTCTCTCCCTTTCATTTCCTGTCATCTCTTTACTGTTGTCTATGTAATTAAGACATATAAGTCCCCAAAAAAATAAGTTTGGATTAGAATTAAGATGTCTGTATAATTTAGTGCCCCCCCCCCTTCAAAACTGGAACATGGACTGACATGCAAGAGTTATTCTAGGTCAGTGCTCTCCTGCTAAGCTACCATAGTAGTCCTACTCTTGTGAGACAGCAGTCTACCTGTTCTTAAATAGATACTTCAAGAGGATACATTGTCATAACAGCGTCATAATGTTGTCATAATGCGATAGGTTACATTTTGGCGTGAGTCGGAACAGTCCGTTCATAACATTAATGTGCCACTGAAAACGTGCATATTCCAGTTGTGTTCGTGGGAGAGTTTTCCAGCAACTGCAACTCAAATCTGCTCTAGGAGTAACTAGTAGTATGTGCATGGTGGCTACGTATTGTTCTGTGCATGTGGAATAACAAATATTCTGTTCCCTGAAGGAACCTTGGTCCCCACCACGATCACCGTGCAGCTCACCACCTCGCTCTCCACTGACCTACCGCAGCTACCTGTACGCCAAGCAGAGAAACGGGGCAGACTCACAGATCAGTAAGACCTACAACAGCAAAACACTCAAATATGCAAATATGTTTTAAAGTTACACTGGTCGGAGGAATTGAAACGTTGGCTTTAAGTTAGAAACCTATCATTGTAGATTTCATGGCCTTTGTTTTATGTTTTTTATTTTTAATACCTCAGTTGTTGTTTTTTTGTTGTTTGTTTTCAAGTTTCCACTATTGGCAGAAACAACTCAGCCCCTTATGTTTTAACTCGACTTCACATCTGTTTTCATCACCAGGAAATCTTACTGTTAATACTGTAATTCAGCATGTTTTCTCTACATTGCACTTGCTCATGTTCTCTTTGATGAAACACTTTGCTTGCTGATTGCTCTGTGGACTACAACTGCGAGAAGTGCATGTCTTGCACTTCTCATGTGTTATGAATCAGAAATGAACTCAAATGAAAAACATGAGTTTTTGCTGCATCTCTGACACCTATTTAGTCTTTCAAAATGGTTGGCTCTCTCCTCGCGTTACTCTCTCCGGGTCCTTTTGATCTGTAAATCTCTCATTCTCTCAGATCACTTTTTCTGAGGGGTGTAATTGTTAAGAAATCGTTGCATGTTAGTCTCAGATTTCTCCTCCACCAAAGCTGTGTTTTTCTCTCCGATCTTTCAGCCTATGAAAGCAAACATTCCTCACGGCCGATCGTTCAGCTAGAGCAGCACTCCTCGCCCAGTAACTATGGAGCCAAAACCGCTGTAGAGCATCCTGCTATGGCTCGGGTAAAGAAAGATTTCTTATAGCGACCGTGTTAATGGTTCTTTATATTTCAGTAATGATATATGTGTATCTTCCCAGGCTTCCTCATCAGAGAGACTGGACCAGCAGGGTATAGTGGACTATTCTGATGATGACCCCTGGAGGATCACAGTGGAACAGCTGGAGTATTACACTAATCAGTTCAAGAGCTTGCAGCCTGACCTGGGGGCTCTCATCCTGGGTACGGACCCCCACCCCTCTTCTGCACCTATTTATGAAAAATAAAAAAAACACTTTACCACTTTGTGTCTCTTTTGTAGGAGCTATTGCAAAGAACTTCTTCACAAAATCCAAGCTCCCAATACCAGAACTTTCCCACATTTGGTAAGTGCTGACTCATAGTGTTATCTGTCCTTGTTCTGTTCTGGGGTCAGTTGGGTGTTTATCAGCCAAGCCACCTCAGCTGAGTCAGACAGAGGCCTCATCTTAAAGGTGCAGCAGACCTTTACTGCCTTCTCATCCTCAAACTAAAAAGGTTTCACCACAAGTATATTTAGAGCTGTTTTATCATGTATTACAATAATGAGGATAACTTGATAACATAACATTTTATAGGAAAATATAACATATATATCAATATAGCAGTTAATAGTAGTTTCTCACAATCTTAAAGGAATCGTTTGGCGTTTTCTTGCCAAACTTATATAAGTAGATCAATACCACTCTCGTGCCTGTAGGCTATAGTAAAGATAAAAATAGAGCCAGGAGACAATTAGCTTAACAGAAAGACAGGAAACAGCTAGCCTAGTTCTGTCCAAATGCAGCAGAATCCGCCTACCAGCACAATGTGTCATTTTTACTCTTCACTCTCTGTATTTTGTTACCTTTGTACAGAGCCAGGCTAGCTGTTACCAAATGTTTCCAGTCTTTGTGCTAAGCTGCTGGTTGTTAACCTAGCTACCATGAATATCAAACTATCCCTTTAAAGTTAGTTCATTAACATGCTATATATCATTTGTTTAGTCCAAACCAAGTTGTAAAAGTGATTTTTAAGAGGCTAAAAATTGTGGTAGTGAACTATATAATTTGTTCAATTGTATTTGTACCAATTAGCAATAGTAAATAAATTAGCAGTAAATTGCTAGCTTAACTATAGAGTATTTTTGTCAGTGCACAGAAGATCAGCTGAACATGGAAATTATTGTTTTATATATATATATATATATAGAAAGATTTAACATTCGTCTGTGAATTACTAATGAATATTTACTTGGATTTAAATTTAACTTTTCCAGTTTTCCTTAATTGAGTATCAAATGACATAGTTCTTTCCAGAAAACATATTATAAACCTATCGTGTAATATTATATGTCCACTCTCAGGTTTTGCAGATATTTTTCATTTTATCAACACTTTATTTTCAAGGGAGTTGAGTGATGTGGATAGAGATGGAGCTCTCACTTTCTCTGAGTTCTGCACAGCCTTTCACTTGATTGTGGCACGCAAGAACGGTTACCCTCTCCCAGAGAGCCTTCCTCCGACCCTGCAGCCAGGGTTCAAGCAGCAGGAAGAGGACATACCGGATACTCCTGAAGTAAGAGAAACGGCCATGAATCTGTTCTCTGAAACAAGTCTTTGTCTCTGTCTTTGCTTTAGTTTGCTGGTTACTCCTATTTCAGAATGAAACTCTTTAAAACTGTGCTTTTTGGCAGAGTGCAGAGGCTCTTATTGTCTTTGAGGATGAGGAACTGAGGCCTAGTCAGATGGTAAACTAAATCCGCAGATAAAACTCAGATAAAAACAGTTTCCAAAGAATAGTTAAGGTGGAGTCCTCTTTGGCAGTTGTCGAAATTAACTTGCATTTGTTCAAGTACTGTAACTAAGTACAGTTTTGAGGTACTTGTACTTTACTTAAGTATTTCTATTGTCTGATACTTTATACTACTCAACTAAAGATCAGAGGAAATTTTGTAATCTTTACTCCACAACATCTATTTGATAACTTTACTTACTTTCCTTTAAGAAAAGTTTGATACCAACACTTGTGTATATTTTCTTAACTGCTGTTTTAATGCATCACTTTTACTTGCAACAGAGTATTTCTACACTGTGGTGTGCTACTTGTACTTTAAGTAGAAGATCTGAGTATGTTTTCCACCACTGCTCGTAGTTGCCTGTTGGGGGCACTAACAAGCTGAACATGAGATTTCTCTAAGTTCGTCCATCAACAGGTTGAGCTTAGAGCATGAGCCTGTACTTCCTAAAATGCACTACACCCTTTAGCAGGCAGTGATGTAGCGTTGTTGTAAATGTAGCCGATCATTGTTGTTGCTTTGTTTTTTTAGGATCGGAGCATCATAGAGAGGCTCCAGCCAAGCCTGGCAACAAATAAACAAGATTTGAAAGAAGACTTACGTAAACAAGGTAAAATTAGATAGACCAGTTTCCACTTCATTTATTAAGCAGTTCTTCCCAAAATACAAAAAAACATTATACTCTAAAATCAGATGCAAGGCACGTGCACTTCCTCTGAGGTAACACACAATATGAACTGGAAAAGTGGCAAAGCTTTCAAAAAACCTTTCAATATTGTTTTCTACATTCATTTTGATCCAAATATGTCAATAAAACAACATAAAATGGTTTGTGATTTTGGAGTGCTGTTATCCCAGTTTATACTAAACATCATACTGCATATTTTCTCAGACGTTCGTACATTCTGCAGCAATCAAGTCTTCATGCACTTAGTCCTACTGCTGTGTCTTTATTCCTGTGTCTACAGATCTAGGTGTGAAAAGGGTGACAACATCTCGAGAGAAACAGGCTCTACAACTTAGTGCTTTTCCTGACAGACCAGGTGAAACTCAAACTGCTTCTAACATGGGAAATGACAGTTAATAGTCTCGTACATACATGCATCATCTCACACAAATACCCCACTCCCTTCAGTACTGATGATGGGGTCCTTTCCTCTTTTGTCATATTTGGTGAAAATAAAGGTTCAATTAGTGATTTAACTGAGTTTGTAGCGTCAAAAAACTGAGGGACTTTTCATAAATCTTCAGAAAAAAAAGCACCAACAGTGGCATTGAAATTATGTGTAATGCTGATTTAGCTACTTTACACGCATGGGATTACTTTGTGGTTCCACGGGGAAGTAGTTGCTTCTTATTTACACGAGCTAAAACAAGACCAAAAGCCTGATGTGTCTTTGTTGGTTTAACGTATCCTTCCTCACAGAGCCGCCTCATGACCTGGACCCACAGATAAGGACAAAAACAAGACAGAGGTGAAAATCACAGAAATTGGGCAACAAGTCTTTTGAACTCCCACATTGCTCACTAACCTCATTATACTTTTTGTTTTTCCGCCCATGTGAGTTCACCTCCAGGTCCTACTCCAGCACTTCTTTTGAAGATGCAATGAAGAAAGCAGAAGAGCCTCCCACCCCCCCACCTCGACCCCAGAAAACCCACTCCAGAGCGTCTTCGCTGGACCTCAATAAGCTCTTCCAGCAGGGCGCTCCGGGTACGATTCACACCCACAGACTGTCCCTGTCTTCACTCAGCTCCTCTCACAACATTAAGTTTATTACCACACTGCCTGGAACTACGGTGCATTTCGAAATCAAGTTATTGTGTTTGTTTATGATAGTTCTCCTTTCATGGGAGGATAAAAGGGGAAATGGAGATGGTTGGGTTTTTATTGTTCAGTCTGAAAGGTGAGAGGTTCAAAAGAGTGCAGTTCACTGTCTGATTAGGAAAATGTGGGTGGTTTATTTGTGTGATATGTGACTCCTGAGAGCAATATACGAATATAGACACACTAGTTAATAGCTCGGTGATATTTTGTCTGGATTTTAGGCGTGAAATGGTTGCCACCTCCTCCGGCACTCCCTCCTAGACCATCGACTTCACAGGTAAGAATGGGTTGATTATAGCAGGAACACTTGCTAATGTGCTCTTATATCGGGTGAACAGCCTTTGTTGTTCCTCACATAAACTAATCATGATGGAAAGCTTTGGTTAATCACCGATCGCCTTTCTTTTCAGGTTTCTCATTTTATCAACGTTTCGGAGAAGACTCCGCAGAAAAAAGTGCAGCAGCCAAACTTTGCTGACTTCAGTCACTTTAGAGAAGAGGTGAGGATAAAATCTGATTTTCAGCTTTGATTTGTCTTGATTTGAGTTTCAGCAAATGCAGCAAGCAGCAACACAAATTGACTCAAAAAATAAGGGGTAAAAAATAAGTTTACAAATTCAACATTCCACTCCCTGATTGTCAGCATTTTCCACTCTCTGATTTTCCTCCTGCCATCCCAGCTGTTGCACTGAGGTCATGTTTGTCATATATACAGGCCTCTATTTCAAGACAGAAATGAACTCAAAGGTGTGGCGTACATCAAATTGCAAGCGAGCGACTACATCAAGGATTTATTTAGGGCTGAAGCGACGTGTGGCTTATTTAGTCTCTACCTTTTTTAACCCCCGTTCTCTTTGTCATTCATTTCTCTTTCCTGACACGTTTTATTATTTAATTTGTATCCTGGCTATTACACAACACAGCAATCCAGTGCATGTTTAATATTCATGACAAAACGTGTCATTTTCACACAGAAAATAGCAATAGAAAGTTGAATGAAGGGCCTAAATGAAAACGTGTGAAATCTGTAAAATGTTTGCCTTGTTTGATTTGATATGATTTGGCATTTAGGTGGACAATGTCTACTTTCTGTTAAAATCAAACACACCAAACTCCAATCCGGTGTCATTTTACTGTCTGAAGCAGTGTTTTATCAGATTTACTCAGTCATAGATAATAGACAGATAAATTTATGCAGATGAGTATAAAAAGTACTTATTTTTCAAACCTCCAATTTCTGAAATTAGCTGTATGCCCAACAGACATAATAAACAACATGTGCAGATGCTCAAATATTGTATTATTTGGAGTCAAGTGTAAGATTTCCCTGGTAATTCCTGGTAAAAGAAATGTATATAGAAAGCTCTTCTTTGTATTTCTTTGACCTTCCTTCTGGGAGACAGCCTGAAGGGTTTCTGTCTTTATGGCATCCACCCATCTGACTCATATTTGACAAATCAGATGTAGTTTTAGGGTCAAGGGCGCTGCAGCTCCTAATTTTATTCAAACAGACTGGCTTAATCCTTCCCCTTTTATCTTGGTTGTCATTTGATCCCTCAAATCCGTCCCCTGTTACTGAGTTAGACTTTATTACGCTGTCTTTTTAATCACTCGTTGAATCCAGCAGACGTGCCCTTGCACTATTCGCTCTCTGCTGTTGTATTTAACTCCTCTCCATCAGTGCTGTATGTGCAGTATCACGCTCCTCTGTCTTCCCACAGGATGTTTTGCTTAGTCTTAATTAAAAGCAAGAAGATTGGACGAGACCTTTAAGTGGCTGCACCCTGTATGTATAGTTTTCACTTAGTAAGACAAATTGAAACTCATACCAGCCCAAACCCTCAGAGAGACAAAGGTAAACTATATAGGTAGTTAAATATAGCTTTCTTAACATAAAACATGTCTTAAGTTAAGGGTGAGTATTTGATACATGCTTTTGCAGGGAGCCCTTGGGAGCTGTTCAATTTGCAGTTATGGTGAAAGGAAAAACAGCTTCGGTTATGGTGAAACGAAGGCAGACACTGTTCATTCTTAGTAACTTGCATGTGTTAAATTAAACCCACTTTACTTCACGTCCCTTTACTTAACCTAACTTTACTTCCCTTCACTTTCTATCACTCATGACTTTTCTACACTTCACTTTACTTCACTTAACTTATCTTTGCTTCACTTAATTTCACGTCACTTCACTTTTCCCAGCTACAAACTTTTCCACGGACCACAGCGGGGTCCGTAAGAACAAACTACACAGCAGTTAATGAGACACTGGGCAGGTGGCCACAAGTGATGTTACTGCAGCCGTGACCTAAATGCAACATCTTTGTAGTTTTTTCCAAAGCACAGCAGAGCTAAATACACACATCTGTCAATCCAACTACACTCCACACTCACCAAGGCTGCCCACCATCCCAAATTTGACATGGACCCACTTCACCAAGTAATTACACACAGACACTGTTGTGTTCGCCAAGATCACCACATAGAGCTTTAGTGTCTGTAACGTTTCTTCACCTGGTTTGGATATTCTTATTGCCGGTTTGCTCTTATTTATATCCACCTTCAACATGTACATAATGAGAATAATAGTTTACTCTTGCATCCCTTGCACTCTGATCACTGCACTATTTGTCAATATGTCTATATTGTTTTGTTCATGGTGTGTATATTAGTGTTGTCTATATTGTAGTTTGTGTCTGATTTTATTATATTATTATTTTATTATTGTATTATTGTATGAGTAAGCACACTGTGAGCAATGTACAAACTGAGTCAAATTTCTCGTATGTGTACACATACCTGGCAATAAAACTGATTCTAATTTATATTAGTCCAAACGGTTCATGTGACGATGACAGTAATTCTTCAGCTTTTACATTGCAGGAATGAAACAGCCGTGACCCACGGCTGATGTGACCACACATGCTGCTGGTGGCGGTTTATTGCTTTTAAATGTTTCCATGCTGTGGTCGTGTTTCACGTCTAATGGTGCAGTGAGTCTCAGGGTCATTTATTTGTGTCTGCTTGCATGTCAGTTGCATTGCTCAGCAAAATAGATTTTTGGTTTTCTTGGGTACCATTTTACAGCAGCAGCATTGGCCTGTTTAAGCCATCAGGAAAGCCCAGGCATTTCAACTGCCACCGCAACGGAGACAGCAGCCCATTGAAATTAGTGGATCAAATTCACTAAATCCAACATTAACAGATGGCAAATGATGGAGCGCAGAAAAAGTAGAGAAGGTGCTGCCTAGTAATAAATGCATTCAACTTTCATAACAACTAATCTGGCAGTCTTGCTATGAGTTAATATTAAGAAATTGACCTTCATGTGTAGGGCCTGTCTTCACACTCTGCACTATTAACCTCTCTGCTGAATGGAAGCAGGTGGTGATACTTTTATACATTATGTCTAGAAGAGAATAATGGCTGAAATGCAGCAGGGAGATGCAATAAAAGCAAGATAATCCATCATGGCTGCCCCTGAGCAGGCAGGAAACAGCGGCTGGAGAGCCCTAGATCGTGGTCCCTGCAGGGACCGTGCTGATTTATCCACGGTCAGGGCAGACACATTTCATCCTGCCTCTTTAGCAGCTCCCTCATATTATTTCACCTCATCGTGACATCAACACTCGTACGTCGGCCGTCAGCAGGAAGAGATGTTTTATCGTATAGCTTATGCGGCCTTTGTCCTAGCACATTTTTTGGTGTAATTTAATTTTACTCACACTTTTGCTTTTGTCTGTGTTGCAGGAGGAGAGCAGTGTGAAACCGGAGGAACAGGGTCCGCGCTCTAGATTTGGTCCAAGTACTGAGGACTTGACAAATGCTTCAAAACAGGTCTGAAATGCTAACGTAGACATGTGAGAGCAATGTTGGTTTTATTTTATGTGTCTATGTCTCTGGTGGGGTTCGGAGGCAAATTTGTATTTTTTAAACTTTCCTTAACAGGACGTGATTGGAGTTTCTCACAGTCAGGCCCCACAGAAGCCAGTCCGCAGGAAATACCACTCTGAGAGCCAGAACCTGGAGACCACACCTCCACCTGCCATGCCGTTTCCTCCCCCTACTAAATCTGCTCAAAAGTTAGTTAAACATTTGAGTCTTTAAACCTAAAGTACAAACAAGTTTGCTTTTCAACTAAGTCTGATTGAATGTGAATTGTATTGAGTAGAATTAGGTTAAACTAATAACCGTGGCAAAAAATAATTCAATAAAAATAATAATAAAAATAATAAAGTAAGGTCACTTTAAAGATGTTAAAGATGTTCTAATCAATATTTTAATATGAAGAATGGATCAAATGTGTAATGAAAGGAAAGGTGAAAAGTGAAAGTGTTAAAAGAATCGCTCCTAGCAAAGAGTTATCACTCATCTCTACTTCCCCTCAGCTCTATAAAGCTTTTTAGCCAGTTTGAACTTGTTTTGGTTTTACAGCCTGCGACTTGCAATGGAGTCATGTGACTTTGAACAGAGCAATATAATAATTGTTTCTGTTTTTTTTAAAAAACAGATCTTTTTATGTATAGCCTGTATATCCTTTCCATAATGTTGTCAGACACTTATAATAACAATCTGAGGCTGTCAGTGGCAAAGAAAAAGCACTTTGGTGGACGTACTCTGATGGGGCGCAATTGCCAACAAGGATTACATTGCAGTCCTGTTTTGCTGTGGCCGACTGCAGTGCGCTCACTCAATACTTGACCAATTTAAAATGTCATCCCCATTAGTCACGGAGACACAAAAGCGTGGGAAAATAGGGTCCAGGTTGAAAATACCGCCCCCTCCTGCACTTCATATGCAGTGAGTGGACAGGCAGCGTGCACGAAAGCAGGCAGGCAGGTAGGTAGGCCAGCTGTGACAGACACACACACTGGATTGATTTCATTTTTGTGTCAGAGCAGTAATGAGTCTTGCATACATGCTCCTGTATCCGTAACCAGACAGCTCATTGAAACCCATGTACTTTCTTCCCATCTTTTCGGTGTCCGCCATCTTAGATTGCAGCATTGTTTCAGAGTTTGCTTTGACTCAAGGCATTTAATCCCATCTCCAAATACCGAGTTTAGACCCAAATGACACTGAAAGAAATGTCAGTTATGTTGATCTATACTATTGATGTAGAAAATGAATTTAAAACCTGATAAAAGTGGATAAAATTCTTTCAGACTGATGTCCAAACAGAAGAGGGAGATCCAGATGGCGATTCGTAAAAACAAGGAAACCAATGCAGTGTTGACACGCCTCAATAGCGAACTCCAACAACAACTCAAGGTTAGCCCATCTTCTGTTTGTTATAGCACAACACACTTGTAGATGTTGATGCAACCATGCCAGTCCTTATACAGTATTCTGCTGAAGGAGCATGTTTTTGTCTATGTGAATTGGGTGTGGACTACATGGCTGGCCACAGTGACTTTCTGACACTCCCTGCCCTTCGACAAGGAGTTCATACACTACATTTTCACCACAAGCATAACACCGTGGTGATGTTCTTGTTGACACTGTTTCGAAAGTTTTTGTTTGTGTGTTAGAAGTTCAATTGTACTCGCTCTCAAATGAGTGTGACAACAAATGCTCCCGCTGGTCTAACGTGGTGTAAAAGCCGTGCTAAACTGTCTGCTCCCCTACCCATCACTCACAGTTGAACTAAACAGACTTGGCTGTTTGTACTGGGGATCTGCCTGTGGCACACGCACTCAAATTTGGAACACATGCTGCATGCCTGTCATTCTCCACGTAAATGATCCAGCACCTTCACGCTCACATGCACCACTTTTAGAGCTTTAATAAAACAGAGGCTAAAGAATAAAATGGACAAAAAATCAAGCAATACAAATCCAATTTCAGGCCATTCTCAAAAATTATTCCAAATAGGCAGTTTGATTTTATGCTAGAGTTAAAGCTTTTGTAATGGCATTCTTCTTCCATGAGTCCTCGGTAATCTAGGATGTAATTTATTCACTCTAATTCTGCCAGTTCCTCAAAGCATCTGTGGAATTTTTCAGAGAAAGGCATATGTGTCTTTATATAGACTTGGGCCTTGTTGAAATACCATTGGCATTTACAACTGTCTTCTTCAGAATAGAGCCTGGGCTGGTCAGGCATCCAACTACAACAGGGTGTGCGAGGAAAGACAGGAGGCTGGATGGAAAGGAATAGCTCTTCTTTGACTTTTACCCCTAAAGTTGCTATAACATTTGAAATGAAAACACGTGCGTAGTAACAATTCAAGTATATCAAAACCCCAAGGGCTCCCAAGATAGATCAAGATGACTAAAGATCAATGACACTTTCATACACTTTCACTTTCTCAGGCCTCTGAAACTCCATCAAATAAACAATAAAACAAAAGTGGCATTCTCCTCTCACTTTGACACACGGTATATCCAACGCACCCTTTTCATCATGGCTGTATACTTAAGTCCTGAGTATTCTCCTTACTCTTTTGCTGCCATGCCTGCTGCCGCACCGCTCACCTGAAAGCCATGATGTCCCTTCATGCCGCTGCTGTCGTCGCTACTGCTGGTCTTGTAGAATTTCAATTTCCACCTCCACCCTCAGCACCCAGATCTGAGTCTACAATCCCCTCCGGGGAAGTTACTATGGTCACTTGCCACTCCCTGCTGTGCTGTGCGCTGCACATAGTCTACATTCTCACAATAATTCATTCCACATATGTTGGCTGATTGAAACGACCTTGTGGCCTTTGCTCAGTTAGCCTGTCAACTGGTAGGCCTACAATCTGGGGATGTTTGCATACTGTTCATTCTGTCCTACAGCTTGAACAAGAAAAGGGGCCACTTTAGCGGATTAATCTTGTAATAGACCATCATTACAAACAGTCCTAACAGGCAGTCAACTCGAGTCTGCCGCTACACTCGCTGAGTCTACGTTGGAAGTTACTATGGTTACTCCCCACTCCCTGCTGTGCTGTGCTTTCTTGTGGGGAGTAACACGGTCAGGCCCTAGATGCCAGATATCAACACTGTACATATTTTACAATTACATAATTCCACATGAGTTGGTTGATTGAATTGTGGTCTTTCCTCTAGTGCCACCCTCAGGACAATTTTTAACCCTGTTATTGGTAAAGCTCAGAGACTAAAGGATTCTTAATATGCTATTCATCCTGTCCAACTCTTTTATATTTGGAGGTATAAAGAACATTTGGGGCCACGTCCATCTTCTTCCGGACCAGAATTAACATGTAAATAAAGTATATAATGTAATTACTGCCTGAGGTGCATCTCTTGTTCAGAGGGCGGTGATCAAAGGTCATGTTGTTGTTTTTTTGTTTTGTTTTTTTGGGTTGGCTGCAGGTAGTTCACCAGGACAGGGTCACCTTGGAGTCTCAGCTGGAGCTCCTGCGTCCTCTGGCCTCAACGTGACTGAGCCTGAAGTCTGGTTAGAGTCACGTAACCTGCGTGTCACCGAAATGCATCTCTATCAAACATGAATGTTTGAGCCAAGATACAGAAAGTTGTTGTCTTCTTGTCATGGATACATAATAAATGTAAAAGGGTTGAAGATGGGTGTCAGACTGGGATGTGCCTCTTCGGTTTATTTGATGAATAAATCCAGTCCCACATCCAAATGTTTGTCTGTATTACGCTTAATGATGTTTTGGAGGATTAGATTTTTTAAAATCACTGTAAGATAGGCACATGTTAAATATCCTGTCATTCACTGTTCTAACTTATTTTTTCTCTTTTGATTTACTGTTACTTTCTCCCTTGAATCTTACCTTGCTCACAAAACGTGTAACAGTTTGTCTACATATTGCCATGACTCAGATACATGTTTATGTTCGTTGTTAATAACGGCAACTAAAGTACTCTCAGTTTTTGGCAGTCCATGTATACAGTACATTTCATGGGTATCCACGTGTGGTTTAAAGCAAGTGATGGTGCTACAGATTAGTTGCACTTACAGTCTTTAAAAAATGCACATTTGGAAGGTTGTACTTAATGTTATAAACAGCCACATATGGGTTGGATTTTATTTGGTTACAAATTCTACCCTGCACATTTTATTGTCTGTTGTCTCATTGTAGCTCTGGCACATGAGGCTATTAGGAAACTGAAGAATGTTGACACTGGATTTGTGTGAAATATGGACATTTACTTGAAACTTTGCTCTATCTTTAATTTTAGCCCTGTCTGTCAATATTGAATCCCCCTATGTTTATTATCACATGAAGAGTTATATCTGCAGTGCATCCATACGGTCACAATGATTTTACTGATATTCAAGTTTGCAAAAAAAAATTACATTTAAAAACTAAGCCAGTGTTAACTGTCTAGAAAAGAAAGGAATAAGCATAACATTCTTCCAATGTTGTTTTTTTTTTTTTTTTTTTTTTGCAGGATGGATTTCAAAAACAGCTAATATCTGCACAAGCAGATGTGGTTTTGGTTTTATCTATGCAAAGATGTGGTGCTGCTTACGCTTGCTTTATACCTTTTTCCCCCACACATCCTAATTGTTCATGATGATAAATGAAGTGGTTGAAATACATGATGGCATGCTTGATACTGCATGTTTGCTAAAATGATGTAAGCATTGGACTGTAAATTCACCTTCAATCATGCACAACTGAGCTCTGAGCTGAAGAAGGTAATCAAACTAACCAATAAAGTTGTCTATTTTTATTGTTTGTAATTATTTTATTATACCTATTGATACAAGAGTACATCCTTTTTGTCAATAACTGAAATAAACATTGTTTTACCCTTTTTAATAGAGTGTAAAGATATTACTTAGGGTTGCTCTAAGTGGCATGAATGTGCAAAACGTTGGAAAACATTTCTCAAGTGATGTATCCTCTGAGCAAAAGGCAAAACCTACTCTGAAATTCCAAAAGAAAGTACTTCGCACTTTTAAGACTCAAATGAAGGTGACTTTAAAGAGGTGGTATTATGCTTTTTGGCTTTTTCCCTCCTTTATTGAGTTATCTTTCTTGTGCATGTAATAGGTTTGCAAAGTGAAAAAGCCCAAAATCCACCCCAAAGGGAGTTCCCATCTCCCACAAAAAACTCTGCTCTGAACTGCCTGCAAATAGCTGGTTTGCAGTCCAGCCTTTTATGTCACAGCAAAACACGTGTCATAATGCTCGCCAGCAGCTAGTCAGACACGCCCTCAAAAACACCAGTGGAAAAACACACTGAGCTGCAGCACACAGTGACGAGACGTCCGCCTACTGCCTCCCCTCTCCCTTCCAAACACTAGCTACCCTCCAGGCAGTCGATGGACAGACAGTTGTTACTGTGATGTAGAGACAGAGCTCAGTTAAAACTTGATGGATGAAAAATACATGTTACAGATTAATAACTCACTCTTGCTCCATTCTATGTTGCTAAGCTGATAATGGGATATACAGCTGAACCGAAGCCCTGTTTACCAGCTTCTCACGACCCGCCCTTCTCTGATACTGATTGGCTAGTAGTCCTTAACTAGGAACTGCGCATGCTCAACTCTCAGCAAAGATCTTGTAGAGGCAAGATGTATCACTCCACAGCTAAAACGAAGTGTTCAACACACAGGGTGAAAAGAGGAGCTGCAGCAATATGCAGTATGACAAAAATATGGTGTTTTTTTGAACATGAAACCATGTAAACCTGTTCTGGTACAACCCCTAAATAAGATTTTGAACCTGAAAATGAGCATAATTGGACCACTTTAAAGTTTGCATACATTAACCCAGTGGTTCTTAAAACAGGGGGGTGCAGCATTGAGCCACTTCAGTGGGGTCATGGATGTTGAGCAGACCTAAAATTGCATGAATATGGTTCATGTGGTGACAAACAAAGAAAAGTGCTCTGATGCTAGCAAGGCCATTTTGCTAACATCAATCGTGTTTATTTCAATCGCCTGATTTGTTAATGATTGATAAAAATGAAATCCACTTTTACTGTGGTTTGGGGACATGAACTGATTTTGGCTTCTTCAGGGGGCATTAAAGAAAATGTCTGAGAACCACTGCATTAGCAAATGTTTTAGAATTCATTATCATAGGTATGAGAGCAAGAGAGATTGGACTGCAGTCATGACCCTCTTGCTCTCACAAAGCAGCTGTGCTTTCTCTGACACAGACATAACAACCAGAGGTCAAGCAGATCACCATTGATGGCTCTATTCCCAGACCCTCCGCCGCTGCCGTCCCAAAATATCTGTTGGCACACTTGGCTCCCGTTTAGACACCTCCCTCCTATTCATTCATGTTGCATTCATAATCTGCACTCACTCCAAGTCAAATGATCAAAGACTTTCATGTTCATCCAGACATTTCTTTATCAACATCCTGGTTTTTAACCATGCTAGCAACATGGCCTTAGGGATGGCAGGGCTGGTCAGTCTGTCCACTACTTCTGTCCAGACTGAAATATCTCAGCAACTGCTGCCATGAAATTTTGTATAGGCATTCCTGGTCCTCATAGGCATGAGGATGAAGCCTAATGACCAAATCTCAAACCTTATTGTGATGTATTGGAACCAAACTGTGTACAAACACTCATGGTGTCCAGATAATGTACAATAATGACTTTGGTGATCCCTTGACTTTTCCCATAGCGCCACCATGAGGTTGATATTTGTGGTTTTGAGTGACAATTCGATGGATTGCCATGAAATTTGATACAAACATTCAAGCATAGGTCGGGGTGAATTGTAATAAGTAGGTGATCATCATCAGGTCAAAATTAGAATATGTTCTGTACTTTGGTTTACAACCAAACTCCTGCAAAACTTACAATGTTTCCATCAGCTTCAGTTTTACTTTTTTCTTTAGTGCTCATTAATGAATGCTAGCATGCTAACATGCTAATTAATAAATGTTAAACGTGCTTAAAATCCGCATTTTAGCATTGACACAGTGAGCATGTTAGCATGCTAATGCTAAAATGCATTAAGCTCAAAGAACTGCTTTTCCCAAGTACAGCCTCATATAGCCTCTAGCATGGCTGTAAACTCTTATCTTGTTACACATAGCGTGGTTGATATATTTTGCCTCAAATTTTTCCTGGAAATAGCAGCATATTACTCATTTTCAGGATATGAAGTATTTTCCTAGACTCAATTGAGCCTAGCAGAGGACCAAAGACAAGTAAGACTGAATGAGTTCTTTTGGGTGATTGAAATCGCAGGACATTTTTCACAAAAGCGCAAAATGAAACAGGTTCTGAAATCCAAGTAAAACAGCTGAGCAGTGTTTGACCCTGTGTTTGGGCTTTCTGGGATAAATTGTCGCTCCCACATCTGAGAAAATGAATGGAGAAAATGAATGAGCTGGAGTAAATGAGTTCAGTCTGGGAGACAGATGCAGGATGCCAGACGACAACAAGGCGCTCATAGCTCCTCTGTTCCATAACCAATATTTGGCACAGCCCTGCATGTCAGTACCTGCCACATCAACTTACAGCATCTCCTCCCATACTGTAGGTTTTATTTCATCTTATACATCAGGAGAGGAGTGTGTGTATTCATTAAATCAGGCAGCTTAACAGGGAGCCATTCTCACTGAACTATAAATACCACTTAAAAATGTTTGACTTGCATTTCAAGATGACAGCTGCACGTGATGAGGAAACTATATGTGTCAGCCATGTGTTATCTCTAAGTATATGCCTATTTGATATAATTGCCATCTAGCTATCTTACATAAAGTCAGCAACTGGATTATTATTATATGCATGATTATTATTATTATTGATTTGTCTAGCTGGAGACAGTGATACTGTGTGCTCTCAGACACAAATAGAAGAAATCCTCAGTGACAGAATCAGGTCTCTGTGGACTTCCTTTAAGACCAAATGTTTGTTGGAATAAATCAGAAACTTAATCTAATGAAATGAATTGACAAAGACATGTAGATTTCATTTTCAAGTTCAGTGTAAATACACTGTAAATGTGCAATGGCTTCTCAATAACTTGTATCACCCCCGGTGTTGTGAAGTTAAAGCTGACCCTTCTCACAACAAAGATTACCAGCTTTTGTCTGCTCAAGTTAGCCCTTTTGTCGCAGCACCATTACTCAAAGATGACGACATACGCCAGTTCCCTCGTTCCTCCTTTGTCCCAGGCCGGGCTTTGCAAAGGTTGCACTTCTGGTGTGGACATTAGTTAGGCCGCAGGAAGGGCTTTCAGGCTGTCACCTCTGCCGATTCTGGCCCTGTCAGCTGGTGGGATTTAGCTAAACACTCATTCAGCAAATGTGAATGAAGCTGGGCCTGGTCTGTCAGGACTGAGGTGAAAGCAAAGATTTACCTAGACATGGAAAATTTAAAGTAAAACAGGAATCCTCACAGTTTCCTCTCAAATTAAGAATGAATGAAGAAAATACTATGCCCTACAATAAGCTAAAAATTGTGTATTTGGAATCATGCAAAAGCAATTGTCTAATAATTATTTTAATCCTACTTAAATTTCTGTCAAAACACATAATGTACTGCAGCTTTTATGGAGAATGCTTAGGCAATAGCCTGCATGCTTTTGTCTCAGCTATGGGGTGGCTTGGCTCAGGAGGTCTTGCAGGTCAACTGTTAATCAGAAGGTCAGCAGTTTGATTCCCAGCTCCTCGAGTCTGCACACACAGCAATGTGTTGGTTTCTGATGAGCAGTTGGCACCCTGCATCGGTACTGCCATCAGTGTGTGAATGGGGTGAATGTTACATGTAGTGTAAATTGCTTTAAGACTAGGAAGAAGACATTTACTTGATTTTCCCCCTCCTTGGTTACGAGGGAATTGGACACAAGTAATCCAAATGTGTTTTTTCATGTGAGGCAGAACGAGGTCTTCCATTTTCACCCATAATACAGCCAAACCACCTCAGTGTAAATAACAAAAGCAATGTGATGCTTGTCCAGAAGAAGTAACATAAGCTCTGTGTCATTCAATTACATTTTTCCCATGCTGATAGCTCTAAAAATGAGGTGCCAGTTCATGTTTTGTTTTGATTAATCAATGAATCTTTTAGTCTATAAAAATGTCAGAACGTTGGGGAAAATGTCCGTCACCGTTACCCATATACTATGGTAACATCTTAAAAGGTCTTGTTTTGTTAAACCAACAGTCCAAAACTCAAAGACAATCATGTTATTATCATAGAAGACTAAGAGAACAGGCAAATATTAATATTTGGAACCAGACTGGTGAGTGGGACCAATGAAGTGTTCAGTATCCTTGCATTTCTGTCGATATCTATAATCAATTAATCAACAAATCATTTCTGTTCTAGTTTAACCCAAGAGCTAAAATTAATGAAAATACACTTTGGATCGTCACTGACTGACAGGTGCAATTACCTGGGAGGGTTTTGATGAATTATAATTCATACACAGGCCAGGGAACATTTAGTCATAGTTAAAATGTTTATTTTAAAATCAATTAAGTTTTTACTCAGTGATTTTGTCTTTTTCTCCTTAAAGCAGTGTGATATTCGAACAGAGACCTGAACTCACGTTATTGTGGCATTCTCACATCATATGACACTAGCATGTCCATAAGACCTTTGTTGGGATGCAGTGTCCCTTCTGAAAATGTTTCAGCACCAATGTAATTTTTGCTGGGCGCTGTGAGGCCAACACGGCAACTCAAGGGAGTCCCGATCCAGTAAAAACATCGACTCCGCTCCAGATTTTACTACCGTCTTTTTTTAAAAACCACCTCTACTTTGGAGCAGTGAAAAACACACTAGCATTAGGGCAGCAGATGACCCGGCGCAGCAGCCAGGAGCACAACAGTCCTCTCTAACAAATGAAAGGATGGGGGGCTTCAGCAGCAGCTGAACTCAGAGAAGCTGGATCAGGGGCCGAGGGGAGAGAACTGCTCTGTGCTCACTCTTGGGTCACTTTTGTTGGATTTATTCCCCGGTCCGCAGCAACATGCCATTTGCCAAACGAGTCGTGGAACCTCAGTTGCTGTGCAGGTATCAAATCCCAAACGAGGAGGGTCTGCTTTTCGAGGACCTGGTCTGTATCAGTAATGTGGCTCTATCTCGGACCTTGCGGCAGCTGTCGGACCTGGCCAGACATGCCTGCTCCATATTCCAGGAGCTGGAAAACGACCTTACATCCACCAACCAGCGGGTCAGGCGGCTGCACAGCAAGATTAACCAACTTCAGCAAACCTGCTCCGAGCTGGACCCCAAACAGGAGGCAGTGCGTGAGTACTTGATTCTCAGTTAATATCTGTTTCACGTTGGAGCTGCCTGCGCACGAGCAGCGCGCGGCTCTGAAAGCAAGCGGCACGAGGAGGCACCCTTTTCACTTATCAGCTTCACTTTGACTGCATTTCTACAAAAACGATAACATAGATAAAAATAAATAAAGTTGTCAAAGTTTACCACAAGTTGTATAATGCTATCTTAAAAACTACACGAAAGTACGATTAAGTCGCAGGGAAGTCATTGTTGACGCCCCCGCACGGGAAGACAGGCATTTAAGTAAAAACAATATTACTATTTTAATGTTAGTTGCAATATGTCCTTCGTTGTTTTTGTAAACATTAGCAATTTGTTCTTTTTGGGAAACGCGCGCTGCTGTTTTTATATCTTCCCACGCTGAGGGGCGTGTGACAGCCTGGCTGTCCCCAGCTAGTAGCCACTCAGCTATTACAGTGCTATAGACATGCTGTCTCTCTAGTATTAACAGTAAGTTAGCCTGCAGTATGCTGGTCAGAGTTATGGCTTAATATAACTTAAGTGAATTTACAGGCGACTTCGCAGGGATTTTCCATTTAAAAACTCCAATGAGTGTCTAAGCGCTGTACTCATATTTGAAAAAGTGGCAATTCATATAGATATAAACATGACTTCTGCTGAGCACTAATGTATATTTATATACACATGTGTGTTTATACACACGCACATTGTGGGTGCTTTAAGTTAAAACATGATGCTCTGCTGTCCTCACTGTCGTTTTGCTTCTTGTGTCGTTAGGATAAACTTTCTTGGCCACCAGTAAGAATTCATTACCCTGATAACACAGCATGTGGCTATGGCCTGGCTCCTTTGGTCTCTGTGTCCCTCCCTGACTGACTGGGTGGTGATGTGATATTTGTGTGTGTGTGTGTGTGTGTGTGTGTGTGTGTGTGTGTGTGTGTCTGTATTTATGTGTGAACCCACTCTCCAGGAAGCACTTAGGGAACCTGTGCGCCCCTAGATTAGTCCAGCCCGGAACGGTTTCTCCAGCTTGGACATACCCCAGTGGTGACCAAGAACTTGCTGAACCTAACCTTTAGTTTAGGTTCAGCAAGTTCTTGCATGTTCCCCAAACCCTGCTTCCTGTGGTCTGTAAAAGGATTAGCCTAAAGGCATTTATCTGCTGCCTGCCTCAACAAAAAAACAGACCTGACCCTTCTTAAACCTAATGCAGAGATTTTTTTCCGCCAGCGTTTGTAGCTCCTGTTTGAGGCAAAAGTGTCAGTCTAGTATTCCTGGCTAGACTGGTTATGCATGATTCTAAGTGCAGTCACAATAAACTGACCACTTGTAATTTGTCTGTACAGCTCCAGAGTCATTTTGGTCATATCTAGATGTTGTATTAATTAAGGAGTAATATATTTGCAAGTACCCTCCTCTCTGTGCTGGGATGCAACAGAATGTGAATGGATGATTATAAGTGACACAGTATGTAGTTTCTTATGAGGCTATTATAGTTTTCTTTTGACTCCAGCTGTCTGTAAATAACCAGCGCCAGTTCATTTGGGAAGCTCCTATTATTAAGCCATCTCTTAGAATCAGTCATAAAAAGTTACAACAGTGTTGTAATTGGAGCCATATTGTATGAATGCAGTACTCTCAGCTGAGTTTGTGTTTAAGCAGCTGTATAAAATTGACAGCAAAATGCAATATTAAAGTTAAATGATTTACTGTCTGGTTCATCCCATGTCTAAGTTCCCTCATGTTGTTATGCTAGGTGACCAGATAACCCCCTTTGCCTGGAAAAGCCTAATTACTCCTAAATTGTGCTTTTCATATTAATGGTGTCAGGGGCAACCTTAAACAACAGACCCCCCCCCCTCTCATTTGAATGACAATTAGTGTAAATTGAGCAGTTCAAGGCACTGAGGGCTCAGTAGGTGGGGGTGGGCTTTTATGACTTGGCTGTGACTCCGCCCTCAAGGCGACTGCTGAAGGACACAGCTACAGATACCATATTGAATTATGCAAAATCAGATATTGACTCATTGGTAAGGTATCACAGGATCTGTTTTCCGATTTCCTCTGTGGTAATATTTGCATGCGGGCATATTTTTAAATGCTCTGCCTGATGCTGACACATTTTGATCGACTTGTTTTGCTAGGAGTGTCTCTCTTTCACTTTCGCTTCATCTCATATTGAGCATTTTATTCTCTATCAGCACCAGCTGTGCTGAGCACACCAGCAGGTCCATATATAGACACTTAAGTGATGCTTCTAATGTCTAAGAATGATTGACATGGCTATTTATACAGTGGAGTCCAACTAAATAATACCAGGGATCCTTATTAAACAAACAGTACACACCTTAAAATGAAATGTTTCTGGAAAGATGAAGAATGAGGAGTCTCTGTTTCGTAATCTGTTTATCCAAATCCATACCAGGAGCCTGGCATGTATCCCTCAGCCCTGTGTTTAGACAGCTCTGCTGTGACACCCCATCAATGTCTGCGTTTGACTGCCGTCAAGAGCTCCTCAGCCAGACCGGGCCTTGCAGTGCTGCCCCGTGTTAGAGAGCTCTGCTGGGTTTTAAGTTACACTGGCTCTGTGTGGAGGGGGAGATGTAATACTTGTGGCGGCAAGTGGCCCTCTGGCTTTTCTGGTCCAAGAGCACATGGCACATTTTACCACATTCCTTGGACAGACCGCTCCAGAGACTGTTTCACAATACCAAAAAGAGGAAAGCACAGATCCACTGAGTAAAACACAGTAGCACACAAGATAGTAATGATGCCTTACATTTCTGGCAGTGTGTCAGACCAGGATCTTGTTAAATCCATAATGCATTAGTGTTGCAAACTGTCTGCATGGTCTTATGTGGTAATCTCGGGACTTTAAAGTGTTATGTTAAGAAAGTGATAAGATATGTAATCGTTGTAGTATTAAAACATAAACCTTCAGTGCAACTGTAATTCACTGACAAAACGCTTTGAACAAATCGTGACAAAAAAGGTTTTATTTCCCTCCTGTTCATAATTAGGATAATTATGTGCGTACAAATTTGAATTCAAAGTAATGTACACCACGAAAAAGTGTTTGCAAGTGGCCGCACATAAAAGAACAGCCAGGTTCAATATCTTATCATTTAGATAAGCATGCTGCGTGTATATTGCTGCTAATGTGACAACATCTGCAGAATCTATAATTCCATTCTAGTTAAATAAATACATTTTACTCTTAAATTAAACATTATTTAACCATCTGACTAATTAAGTTTGCTTTAAAATTCTAGTTGTGCATTTGCAATTGTCAAGTGCAGCCAGCTCAAAGGTCTGAACGACACATACTGCATGTTATGTAACCTTTAAGAAAAGACAAGCGCCTGCAGCAGTTGCAATTTCTACTACTGTGCTTGTAGGCGCTCTAGGCTTTCCACTGTGCTACTTTTCCGCATGCTTAAACAACCCCTTGAGTAAGATTGAGCACCATGTATTTATGCTCTGCAGCTACCATCCTTCCATCTCTTGATTTCACTCCAGGTCTTCCACTTCAGCGCTGTGACGTTCATGCAGCTCTGTGAACCTCGTGGCCTGGAATAAAAGTGTCTGTGGACGGCAGTAGCACAACATCTATGCCACTATAAACTCCACTAGAGCAGCTTAGGCCAGGAAACCACATTAGCCTACTGACAATCCTTCCCTTCTGCATTTCATTGACCCAGTCCAGCCATTACTGGGACTTTGATTTACTAAGTGACGCTGTAACAGCGAGTCAATGCATCATCCATCTGAGGTCAATAGCAATAGATGTTGGGATTCACCATAGAGCTTCAGATAATGTAGGAATGTCAGTGAGTGAACCCATATTTCATCAGTAGTGGTCTCTCTAGTGATCCCGTTTTTCTTTATCAAGTAGTTGACTTAAATGTATGACGTAGGAACAGATGTGGAAAGACTCAATCTCTTTCCATAAAGCGAACAAAGACTTCACGCAAAGAAAATTAATTAATCCGTGAATCTTGGATCACAGTTTAAAACAGGATCGAGAGCCTCTACTCTTTCTTTCTCTTTCATTATCAGAACCGTAGGCATTTTTCTGCAGGTCTAGACAACCTGCCGTTGACATAGTACCCCTGATAATTATAGAGCCCATTTCAAAGACTTGCTCATTTATTCCTGCACCTTCCCTCTCCTTCCAGACAGACTCTGAGAAAGCCTAGACAGCCAAGATGCCGTGCCCTGTTGTATTCATTCTACTGTCTTAAAGCTGATGTCATGTACTTCCTCGCAGCTTATATTCAGCGTTCTGACTTTTTTTATGGACCAGAGAATGAACAAAGTACCAAACTATGAACAAACCAATGCCTTTGTTAAGTATTCCGCATTGTAACTTGATAAGATGGTATAAACACTTCATTGTCAGCATATTATTTTTATACCAGAGTGATTTGACATTGAAATGAGACGTGCGGCCTGAACTGAAGGTTTCCCCTTCACTAGGCTCCATTAAGTATGTGTGCGTCTCAGCACCTCAGCCCCCGGTGGATTGCTCGGCCTGTGATTGAAGTGGTTTCTGCTGAACCGTTCTGTCAAGTCAAGCATTCCAAAAAGCCAGTGACCAGGAAACCACAGTGCTCGCTTGCACTTCTGGGACCTTGCACCCCACACACGTTCCCTAAATTGGCCTGGGTGGCTGGTGTGATTAGGGGAGATGGGGGAGAAACTGGAGTTAGGGGTTGGGGCTGTGTTTGTTTATGAAAGGAGACGTTTTGTTAAAATTAAGTTTTTTTTTTCATTGCTTTGCTTGAGGGAAATGTGTGAGTGATTACACTTTACATTCCTGCGGTGGGACCCTCCATGAGAACAAGTGCTTCCGAGTGGGTCTATACGCTCACCTAAAAATCCCTCTACTGGCCTTCTGTGTATTTTCAGGTGTATAGACAACATTTGTGTTAAGTGTGTTTCGAGCCGCTTATCTGGAATGTGTGAAAGATTCTTGTTTTTGTAACGTCAGCTTCCTTCA